ATATATTGAGTGTTTTGAGAACTGATCACACATTACCAAAGTCTCGGGCATCAGATTGTAAATGTCTGTCTCACTTTAAAAATTTCCTCAGTTTTGTTAAAATATTCTCGTATACCATGTGACTCAACATCTTAACCGTTGGTTAGGATCTATCAGTTATCGAATTCATTAGCTTATAAGTTATAAGTTATATCTCAAAAACAGGTGGAGTAATAAAAACTCAATTGTTATGCTGTTGTGTCTCGAAAAAGAACGAGATCCAGCCAGATATGTTACCTAAATGTGCAGTTTAAGCATCAAATGATGCATATATATCATAGACACGCTAGAAATCCATTGAAAACTCGAAGAAGCTTACAATATAAATAATAAACAGACGTGGAATTGTACATGAAATGTACTTCTATTCCTGAAAATATAGGGCCGCTTAACTATGATCTTTGTTTACCAGTGGTAGACTGGTCAGTGGTCTGTGGTCAGTGGTCACTGTAGTAAAACAATCTCTGGTTCACCCATATGCTTACTGTTTTTCAATGTAAGATAAACAGAAACTTTACGATAACTTGGAGAGATATATGTTAGTAGTTACTAATGAGCATGGGTGTTAGATGTTAGATGTTAGTATAAAGTTGAATACCTTAGTTCAGCTACAAAGTTGCATAATTGATAGGCTTTTGAGAACACAATTACGTCTCAACTTCTGAGCCCAATCACACTTATATAGTATATGTCAAAGTGTAGATATGGTAACGTCGCTAAGGTCTAAGACTACTGGTATAGGTGATTGGTGGTGAAGCATATATATGATGAGACTGTAGTGTAGTAATAATATATAAGTGTAAACCTTAGTATAACAATATAACAATGATAATAAGCATAGTAAGATATATAACTTAGAGTGTAAGTGATGGAGCAGACCTAGGATATTATATATGGACGGAGCCAGCCCTACGGCATATGCACCATGGAGATATCAACCAATGAGATGTCACGTAGAGAACATAACCATGAGGTAGTGATAATAGTGATATCAACTGTCTATGATGTACATACGTTACAATCTACAACTTGTATCGAGTCCTTAGGAGCTCATAATATGGTACAGTAAATCTTTGAAAATTTTAGTCGACCATTAGCTTCTGGAACCAATCTGCCTTAGATTAAAATTTGCTTCAGTAGGACAGTAAGACTTGCTTATCAAAATCTCTTCCTAATTTGATATCACAAATTAACAGTGTAACATATAAAGAGAATAAACATGATCGAGATTCAAGATAAAGTTCATCCAGTAATGCAGACATTCAAAACTAAACCGTTACATGAACATCAAGCCATCGTTCTTAACTTCTATGTGCTTGTGTGCTAGCATTGTTTGAATAGCTCTAAACTTGTTGAATGAATAGAAGTTGTGAAAGAAGTTGGAACTTTCGAAGGTGGTACGTTTCTATGCTGTCGATCCTTCAACTCAAGCACCTTTTCGTTGTCTCGAACATGGGTTATAACTTACACGTTATATGTTACAGGAGCCAATCCGATTCGAGAAACTCTGTTGTTCAATATTTAAAATTTTGACATTGGAAAAGAAGAGTAGTAATACCTTTGTTTTCCAGGATACTGATCTATAGTATTTACTTGAGCTTCGTATCAGATAAATAATCATCCTGTGATACACTACACTTATCAACCGTGGCTGAAGTAACTTGGGGCAATATTTAGTATGAGTTGTTGTCGGCCTTTAATGCCAGTGAATTTTATATCTTCATGCAACTTCCATAAAGAGAAATCCCACATCTAAAATGGGGCTACTTGAATATGAAACAATTGGCTGGGAAAAATCAGCAGGAAAACCGTTATTTCGTTTAATTCAATACTGTTATGCTTTCAATTATTTGTTTTGTACAGTCTTATACTGCACTACTGTTCAATCTTACTTATCTATACGTGCTATTCATTTCATCTTCAAATAATTTCAAAAGAGTTTCCCAAGTATACGTATATCCAATTTTGTATCTGTTGACAGTCTGTATTGAGGCTTAAAATACCGAAAGTTACACCTCGCTTAAACATTTTAAGAAAACCTGGCAAGTATAAAAGCGCATCACGTATTTCAAAATTAGCTCAAACTCTACTGTGTACACCGAATACCGATTCGACTTTAGCCTTAGGCATATTGGATCAAGTAATTTAGCGTGCTTGAACTCTGCTAATCCAGGCTTCAAAAAGGTTCGAGTTTCAAATGCCATGTATATTAAAATTGGCCTGTGACCTGTGACTTATAACTTACCACTATTTAGGGTTGATATTCTTCACTGTGAGCAAATTAACCAAGGTATAAAGCACTGATTTAATCTTACAAAATAAACGAACATTACAAGTGAAGTACCATAAGACCTGGGAAATCTGAGGTTCAATAAAACACGAAAAGTGTTATTATGTGGATTGAATGGTGAACCACAAAATCTATAGAATCAAAAAAATAATAAACCGATTAGGCCCATATGCAATATATCCACAATTTATTCTTAACATGGTAAAAATTTGTAAATAACGCGTAAACTTTAAATGTTTTAAACCTCAAAAATCTGATAAAGTTAATATTTAGCATTCTATACTTTATAGATTTTACACGCAATCGTTATACATACTCGATATTTTGGAAAGCTTTCAATGTGTACCATATCTAACTGGAAAAGATTACATGGAGTCGTATATCAAAAAATTTATCATTATCATTAAATTAATATATAAAAATAAGCTCAATACGAGTTCACTTTTGAATGTCATACTGTAATTATAGCTTGTGTAGTTGTAGTATTTGTTGATTTTCTATTATTCTTTTTGATAACATCAACATAACCTGCACAACATTTCTTAGATTTTTCACAATTTAAACATGATGGTTTACGTTCATCACATTTAATTCTTCTTTTACGACATGTTAAGCATCCTGTTCTGGTTCTCTTACGGATCTTTTTAGGTTGAATTTGAGAAAGGTGATGGATAGTATGGGCTGGTGATGAATAACTTGTTGGAACATGATTATGATGGTTATGAGAAATTGTTAAATCTTGTTGTAAAGGAACGTGATGATGATGAATAATAGGCTGAGATGGGTTGAAATTAGGATGATGATTATGATGATGTAAAACAGTTGGTTGTTGCATCTGTACAGCTCTTGGTTGTTGTAAGACGCGTTGTTGTTGTTCTTGAAATTGTTGAAATTGTTGATGTTGAGGTATTGGATGATATGCAGGTGGTGAAGATGTTGCACTAGCTGGTGATACAAGTTCATGAATTGAAGGTAATCTAACACTATTGGACCCACTTGACATTGTTGAATCCGATGAGCCAGATCTGATTATTTTAGGGTTATAGTTTGGTGTATCTAAAGGTGATGATAATGGTTGATGATAATTCCCTGGGGTATATGTATTTCCTGTAGCTTGTAAAGTATATTGAGGAATAATTTGAGAAGATGTAGTCATATATTGTACTTGAGGTGCTGACTGGTATGAATAATTTGAATGAAATTCATAATGATTTTGTGGATGTGGGATTGAAGTTGGTGGAACTGGTTTATAAACAGCTGGTTTATATTCAAAATAGTTATTAGATTGATTAGCTGAATTAGCAACATTAGTTGAATGAACACTTTCATTTTTAGCACCAAATGATTGTAAACTGGGTAGCTGATTTATACCTGGTAATGTAGTTCTCATATTAAATTAAAACTTTTATTTTGTAATTTTGATTATGATATAATGATATGATGTATTTGAAGCAATAGAGTATTTGAAGCTTGAATGGATTGCAATGATAGTTTAAAGAATTATAAACTTAATCTTAATTCTTTGATTATGGGACGTTAGATCCTTTATATATTATATATTGAAAATTAAAGAGATGTCAAAGTTCAAGCTGGTAACCTTCATATTCATCTTAAGAAAGAAAGGTTTGATGTTCTAAAATCAATTCAAAAAATCAACTCAAAGTGTAGCAGATGATGCATGCAATCTGTATAATGCATGTAGATGTATCTATAAAGTCTTTTTCTTTTCAAAAATGTTTTGCAAAAAACGTATACACAAACTTTAAAAAAGAAAGTTCATGCATGATGGCAATCTTACAGCTACAGTGTGTCACGATGCAACTCGCGGCCCTCCATCAGCATAGTAATATGTAAGAGTTTTTAGTACTGAAAGCGGATGCATAAACATTTGCATGCGTGTTAAAGTTTTAACTTTTAGCTTTTGACAAAAGAAAAACTTTGCGCAAAAGCTAGATTTCAATTTGGCCCCAGATCTGAGCATGACTATAGTCGCTGGTTGGATATAGGCTTTTCAAGATCTCGTCAAACTTTCCCGGTTTTCACAAGTAGAATCACCAATCACGTAAATTACCAAAATCAGTAGAGTTTTGGTTGTTGTGGTGAGCTTTACGCCATTCAATACCAAAGAATCGAGATCTTGATTTATAGTATAACGTTAGTAAATGTGTAGTTAAAAACTATAAGTCATGATTACCATGATAGTGTTCACTTTGATTCACTTCTAGCTAGAAAGGTACCTAATTTTTAGTGTATAGTTTCACTAACCCAATATAGTCGAGAGCTAATATCTCAAGGATGTCAACGTCCAGAAAGTGATATATGAGCTTTGAAGTAAAGCTAACAGCGGGGAATTACACGTACGTACTAGTAATATTGATAACATATGTATTTCTCTGACGGAAGCTGTTTCAGATTATTAAATAAACTAATTATTAGTGATCAATATTATTCATGTTAACAAAAATTTTAAAAGCCGATCTATTAATAACCATATTAATATATTGAATATTGAATAGTTGTTCCGCAATATATATACGATATTTATATTGAATTTAGATCGATCATTAATATATTATAACAAGCCGCTATATTTCATTTCAGCATAATCTGATCATTACTTAGGATCCGTAACCAGATGTTACGACTTTTGGCTGGCCTGATATTTGGCTCTGCTATAATTAAGCGGGCTAATTGTTTTTATGTTACATAAGATCGGTTTTATATATATAACGATTCTAGATTCTAGTATATTTCAAGTATTCATTGAATCATTGTGCAGTCGAGCTAATCTTTTTTGTTTCAAAGCGCGAGGTATTCCAAAATATTAACATGAGTTTTGATAGCGACTTTTTCCATTGGTGATTGGATTCGTAAAGAACATTCTGATTCCACCATAGAATAGATTTACCTCATGTAATTTGCACTACTTGATTCTTGAAGCCTGGCAGTCGCCAGCTTAAATTTTCCAATCGGCCATAGCGCCGTTATAGCGGTTAGCGGCTAGCAGCTGGACCGGAGCCTGGGCCTGGCCCAGATTGGGCTCAATATCGGTAATTGGTTGTTTTACCTGGTGGAACGCGCCCGCTGTTTAAATTTACAAACCCTCTGGCTAGGCCTAGGCTGGACAGCTTGAGATCACTGGCTGTCAGCAGGCTTCAACATTTTGGAAATTATAATTAAATGAAGGCAACAAATATTGATCAAATTGTGAAACGATATAGTACCACTTTTACATATACTTGGCAACTTGAATCTCATCAAGTGAGTACTTACTCTAAATAATGATTATATATAGGGTAATGAATTAAGCTCTAATTCTGTCAAATTTTGAATAGATATATACGTATTGTTGCTGCGTGTCTTCAAACTCAAAGTTCATTATACACAAACTTTATTATATGTCAAACTATTTTTTTCGAGATAAATGCTGCGCAGTGCAGAATCCAGATGAGATAAAGTTAAATCAATATGAAGTGCATTTCCTGATCAATTTCTAATTCGTAAATGGCTTGAGAATTAACACTATACAGTATATTAAACTGAGATTGATCAGAATTCGTCGATGACGATTTCAGTAAAATTGGGTCTCCATTTTGTAATTGATTAGACCATTGGCTACCAGCTATTCCATATAGTATCTGCCCTTCACTGCTGGTTCTGAGTCCACAATTGTGACTCCTTAAATAGTTTCCCCGAAAATTATATCAAGACGCGCACAATATGATGATTGATCCACAATATTGTCGTGACTCTTTATACATTAGATTCGGACAACAGAAAGTGCTTAATTTATTGAGATCATACGCTTTCTACTTAGATAAAAATACACGTGCTTCGAAGATTCATAACATCAAGATATTCATAATTCAAGACGCGTTGTAGTGGGTGGTGAATTATAATAAGCTTAAGTACGGAGCGGAATTAATTGATATCTGAATCTTGATGTAGTAATTACGGTTACAGTTGTCGTATACTAGCTTCAACCTTCTGATATCTATGCTCAAGTACCAAGGTACTGATTTTCTAACTTCTAACATATCCCATATACTATTTGAGAATTATTCATGACACAATTTTTTATCAGGAACATTACAATCACAGGCTACAACTCAGATCCCATGAACTACTGGCACGCAACAATGCCAAAAAGTTTAATCAATCGATGCCTTAGGTACCTGACTTCTAGTTATAACCTTAAATCTTAATTTGATAAATATAAGATACAACTTGTTAGTCATTATGTTTAACTCGCCGAAATAATTCAAATATATGCATCTTAATTGAACTTCTTAGATTGTAGCCGAGATAACATCCAAGGGTGTATCTCATGACTGCTGAATCACTGAGGAAGCATTACGTCGGGTACAACAAAGTGCATGGTTTATCACCGATAAATCAAAAGTCCTTACTGTCAAGTTCCAGTAATCAATACTTCAACATCCTGATAGTTCTATATAGGCTCCTCAATTGTAACTTGAACACCTCATTTCCATACTAACTAGTAGCTACTAACTAGTCTTGAGCCTTCGTATCTCATTTATCAAAGGTCCAACATTGCGATCGAGAGTACATGAATTAGGCAGAGATGTATCTTAATTTTTTCTACTCTGGGAGAGAACATGCAGGTTTCGGTATACAGCGTGCCAGTTTATGTGTAGGCGAATCTTTCGCTTACTGGGGCTTTTGTTTCGATTTGAAGGGAAGCTGATCTCTGGCTGTTGAAGTACAATTAAAATGCTGTCAACCCTGAACAGGGATGGTTGTCCAGGATCAAGGAATAGCTAAGCTGAGCTTAATAGTTCACGCTATGGTTATCGCTCAAGTATCAACGGTCAATCAATCCAGAATTGGATACCTCTTCTTCTAAATAAGGATATAGATTTTCATGGATGGATTGCTTCAATTTTCAAGGCAATGGTGATATCGAAAATCAATATATTATTTAACCCACATATTAACTTATTGTTCCTGTTTAAAAGGTGTAGTGAGTCGTGACACAAGTTGATTGCTTGTCAGGGATTTGAATAATGCTGGAACTTTAACTAATGAAAGATGCCCTTAATTAGTTGTGTATTTAAAAGGGATTATTATAATTAATTCAATATATCTTTCTAGCTGGTCTTTATTCTGCTTCTTCCGTTTAGTCACATGTATAATATCGCTAAAAATTAATGTTTATGATGTTCAATATAACTTGAAAAGTTCAATAATTAGCGTGTCATATATAATTATACAGGAATTGGTATCGATAATGACGGTATTCTCCGGAAAGGGAATTATTATTAAATATGGTAACATATAATTTAACATGATTATATAACTAATTTTCAAAAATTCAATTTCTATGGTATATTATATAAATCTAGTCATGATGTTTGGATCTTAGGCGTATACCAAACCCATTTCTACAAACTTACTTTAATATCTTTGAATAATTGTATACAAGTGATTGAATTTCTGAGTTAAATCAGACCATGTGATCAAATATTACCCTAAATCTCAGCAATTACATCACTTTTAGTACGTCTGCTCGGATAAACTATATGTTGGTAGATGGTAGATATGAGGATAGAAGGAGATATAGTACACAAAATAAATTATTTCATGGAATTAAAATCTATTTAAAACGCTTAAAGCCTAAACCCATCTCTTATGAGTTCTTGGTATTCTAGGTTTGTAAAGAACCAAGCGACTAATCGGTGTCATTTTTATACGATAGAACAAAATCATCGTACGAACGTATGTATAGCTCGGCGAGTCATCTTGGGTACGTATATGGAGATGCTTTTGAAAAATGTGTCATTATTTTACGGGAGGAACCCAGTGCCCACAAAGAAAATAATTAGAGTAAATATGATAGAAGCTATTTTTATCAAACAATATTAGGCTTGATTGATTCCAACATCAATAATTATATTGTACAATTAATCGGATATTTACTAATTCAAAAAATTAAATCGGCAATATCTAGTATTGTCTAAGCCCACAAAACCAAACTTGATAATTCTTTGTAATAGGTACTATCAAGTGTCAATTTTAACGGTTTGGTCCGTCAAGATGGAAGATACGAGCTTGGAGTCTTGGACTCATGACGAAAGATTGAGAATATCATGGTATTTATCGTATGACATTTATAAACGAAAGTATACCATTTGTGGGACACTAGGACTAAACCTGTTTGAGAATATCATGGGATTTATCGCATGACATTTATAAACGAAAGTATACCATTTGTGTGACACTAGGACTAAAGGTGTTTGAAACCTAGCTTTGTAGTTATACAGTGGTCTGTGAATTGACTCAAATTTCTTTATTGATAGAATTAAATTGAACAGAGATATAGACTATTGTTAATGTTGATTTATTTATAACTTCACCGCTATATTTAACTCTTCTCGTGATTGTTTGCAATATTTATCACTTGAGAAGTCTTTCGATGTCAAAATGTTGAGATTTCGTCAATGTTATTTTCGTTATTTCCAAGCTTTCACCTATTTAAAAATTAAGACGAGAAACCTAACGAAGCAGAGTTATACATATCGGACGTTCTCTAGGTATTAGACTATAACTCAGCCGAAGCTCGTATATTAACACTATCTTAAGTATAGTAATAAACAAAGTCAAGATGTATGAGCTAGAGTCATGTGTATGTGTCAATTGAATCATCATTTATTTGTCCACTTAGTATTATTTACGCTTATATTGGTACCGTACCTTAATATATTACGCTAATTTGGTCACCAGATCCAACAATCTATAAAACCAACGTTAATTAAGGTTTAGTTTCATGTCAAATCGATGTCTTCATAAAATTACTTGTGAAGAGTTCCAAACAAAAGTATATTTTCTTGAATTTATTCTTCTGAAGTTTATATCGAATCTTCTTTTAGGCAGGTTCAAGCATGTAAGTATCGTGAGTTATCGTAAAATTTATGCGGTCAATATTTTGTCATCATCATCAGATTCAAAAGTTAAATCCCACTACATGTGCTTGAAGAGACCTCAACTAAACAAAGATATTATTATTTAGAATCTAAAAAAATGCGTTAAGTTACTATCTTTGGAGTCCGTAATAATATGGTTTGATGGAAAGTTTTTGAGTACTTAGTACTACTTTCGTACTTGCAACTTGCCTATAACTGTTGCTATTTCTCTCAGATCCATTATACGTTATCTTGATGATCTAACATAAATATGTACGATGGATATTTTTAAAAGCGTGTATAGCGTTGTTGCGGACATGAAGGTCAAACCTTAACATTTGGTATGTACTTATTCAATTGTAAGTCATCATGTGTAAAATGGGTACCTACTACCTAATGATGATGTTGACTATCTTACTTTTGATAATGACTTCACATGGTAACATTTTGACAAGTTCAATTAGTCACATTTGAACATTTGAACTCAGAGTACTATATCAATACGAGATTATCATTGGTTTTCGATATGAGAAGTGGTTCAAACTTCATATTTAGTCCCATAAATATTAGCTATGTACTTTATCTTTCATGAGAACTATATTTGCCAGAATCAGTTCATATTAAAAATACGTGATGAATCAAAACCACATTTTTTTGCCAAATTCCTTATTCCAATGTTAGTTCTGACTTCTTAAGCTAAATTGTGGCTGGCAATAGATTCGTTAGCTAGAAGAAGAAATAGGTCATCTAATATTTAATATACGTGATGATAAATTTCTCCTGAGTTAGTCGTTTACCTAGGATTTGAGTACCTGGAGGCTGGTATCTGCTGGACTTAATCAACTTTCAAGTTAGAGCAACTGTTCGAAAAGCTCATTATGTTACTATTTTTCCTCTCGCTTAAAGCTTATCTTAAAGAATTACCTTTTTCTATTGATTGCATAAAGTTTCTTAATTCTTGAAAGTTGAAGCGAAAATGATACCTTTATACCTTCTTATCATGACGAAACTAGATCACCAATGAAGTATAATTTGGCCTCTATATCTCTATATACTGATGATAATGTAATGTCATAGTGTAGATCTTTTCCAAAAGTGTACAAAATCAAACTCTAATTAGGTACAAGAATTTGGAATCTGAACAGATTCATAGAGGAAATTGGAAAGAGTATCAATTATTACCTTGCGTCTAAAAATGTAAATCTTCAGATCCTTGAACATTAATTGCTTATATCTTTTAGATTAATATACAAACCTTGAACTTATTACATTGAAGATCCATGTATTTAACGATATATATTCGACTAAACGCTAATTAACGTACCTATTTTAACCTATCTTTTGTCAACATCTCATCAAGGGATTGTCTGGGATCACGATTCACTTGTAGGTTTGTGTTTTTGGCCTATAAGCTATGACGTTATATCTAACTCCTATTAAAATCAACACATTTTGTAATTGAAAATCCCTGAGTTCAAAAGATGAGTAATGAGCAAATTAGATTGACCAGGTACAACCTATTAGAAAAGGGAAAATTCAATTTTAATACTCACCTCATTTAATACGTTGCTATTTGACGAAAAATCTACGTAATACTTATTACCTTAAAAGTTAGTACTAAGTTTCAAAGATTTTCAGTCCTAATTATCGTTAGTATAACAACGCTGGGATATCGAATAGTGTCAATAAATACCTTATCAATCAATAAAATGTTAATCTTTTGGCTTATCTTATAAGCATAAAGCTCCTGTTGTCCTAATATGTCATCGGTTAAAGTTGATTTTAGTATACTTACTTTAAACTTGGTTAATTATTTTGGAAATCCATGAGATCTTTATATGATATTAGGTAAAGTTTGATTCAACAGTAGATCACGTTGGCAGTTTGGTAATAATTTGTTTATCTCGTAGTACACACTTATCATTTCTTCTCCTGTTGATGTTCTTCATATAATAGAATTCAACTTTTATATTGGGCTTTTGTGTATATTAGCACATATATTGTGGCACGAATATCCGATAAAACTTTTAATAAAAGTCAATTTTTTACTTTAAAGTAAGCGAAAAACAGATTCCAAGAGTGAAAATGTGTAAATCAAAGGTGATTTAATATATTAATGCCATTTTTTATCTGATTTTTCAAGTTTAAAATTTTTGTTGTTTTTTAAAGTATTAATTTTAGAACTAAAATGAAAATATGAAGGTCATCAATTTATTTGTAATAATATAATAATTTTTATTAAATTACTCTTGAAAAACTCCACGCTAATTTCTGTGCCATTATAAATATATTTTAATGATATTTATGTAATAATCCTTCAATATTTCCAGCAATTTGAAAATATAAAGCTATTTAAATTATGTTCTTCATGAATTACATAATCATTGGCACAACAATTACATAATTTTATAAAAATTCGCGAAATATTTTAGTCTCAGGTTCGCGATTTTTTGCGAGCATTAACTTTTTTTCTCGGGAAATTTGAGTATAAGTAAACATTTATTATTTTAGTATTTTGATATTAAACAATATTTCATTTGTTCTTTAGCATTCACTCATTTGCATAATTCAATTACAAGATCTATAAGAACAGCCATGAATGATTCAATTGGCTATAATAATAATCATGATGGGAATGTCAATCCCAAATTTGAAGATCCAAGTCTTTATTGGCAAAGAAATAATAAAATTGATAAGAATGATTGGTTATATTCATTAAATGATTTAAATTCATCACCCTCTGTTAAGACTCAATATGGATTGAAGAATGAACTGGACCGTTATAGAATGTCACAAGATAGAATCATAAATGCTTGTAAAATGCTGAATATTGGTAAAGCTGCAATTTTTTGTTCAATGATTTATTTACAACGATTTTATCAACGTTATTCAATGAAGGAATTTTCAACAACTTCTATTAGTTGTGCATGTCTTTATATTGCTTGCAAGAAGCTAGAGATGCATAGAAATTTGAAACAACTTTCAGCTGCTTATGCTAGAATCATTAGTGGGAAATTTAGTCGTAGTGAAGATATACCTGAAGATATTCTTTGGAAAACAAGAGATGATCTTGAAATGAATGAAGATTTTGTTTTAGCAACTTTATGTTTTGATTTGAAATTAACTAATCCTTATCAATATATTGAAGATATTTTAAATCCAAAAGGTTATGATTATAAATTAATTAAAGCATTTACAATATCAAAAATTGAATCATTAACAACAAGTCAAATTTTTTTAATTTTTAAAATTGAAGATATTATAATTACATTTTTAATATTTTCATCAATTTTGAAAAAAATTGAATTTCCAATTGATCATTTTAAAAATTTAAATTTAGAAATTAATCCTGAAGAAATTTTAAAAATTAAAGAATTAACTAAAACAATTTATCAAACTCATGAATTGAATTCAACACCTTTAGATGATGTTTTAAACTTGGATATAGCTGAGGAAGATATCGTTAAAGTGATAAATGGTTCATTAACATCCCCACCTGAACCATTACCTGAACCTGAGTCTGATTTACAATCACAACCTTCATTACAACCCAACCAACAAGAAACATCACAACCAATTCAACCTAATCAAGTATCAGATACAACACAACTAAACCCAACTTTACCTAAAGTTACATCTCAAAACAATCAAAATGTTTCACAATTACAACCAAATGAAACTTCAGCTCAAATACCGAAGCAAATATATACAATTGATAAAAAAGCAGATTCAATAGAATCTCCAAAACCTGTTAAAGATGAAATTTCATTACCACCTCATGAAGAAGTTCAAGATTCTGTTAAAAATGTTAAAGTTGAAAAAATTGAAACAAAACCACCAAATTTAGGTGATTCAATTAAAATTGATAAGGCTATAAAACAAGAGAATAAACCTATTGATTCTACTAAAGTTTCGAAAAAGGAAAATGAATCTACAAAATTACCACCAGGATCTATTGGAACAAAATCTAAAATTTTCCAAACAAAATCAACATTTGGAAGACAAAATTTAAATATACCAAAATCAAATTCAGTATTTGCTAAAACTAAATCACCTTCACCTCAAAAATTCATCAATTCACCAACAAGAGATTCATTAAAACCATCATCATCAATAAAGACTGAAATTTCATCAAAACCAAAAGAAACAACAACATCAAAAACATCAAAAGTATCAAAAGCATCAACAGCGGTAGATTCTAAAATCAATTCACCAATAACTAGAGTTTCAGCACCAATTTCAAGACCTAAATCACCAAATACAGAACCAACAACTACAAAAAGAGTTACAAGAAGGAAAGAAAATGATAAAGAATCAAGTCCAGATTCAAAACCAAGTAGAAAACTACCTGTAAACATTGCACAACCTCATGCAAAGAGAAGCGCTTCATCTACAAATTTAAGTGGTAAAGTTCCAAATAAAAGACAAACTACTGGTGAAAGAAAATCAAATGCTGGTAGAAAAAGTAGGAAGGACAAACTGCAAAATATTTTAGATTCGATTGATTCTGATTTGAGTGATTTATCAGATTGAATTTTTTATATTAATTTTAATGAAATGATTTTTTGTGTGTTTTGATATTCAATCTTTTTTTTTTGTGTTTGTGTCAAAACAATTAATTTTTTTTTTACTTCACAGGTACAAATTTAAATCCTGAAAAGCTTCAATTTCAACTTTCTTCTCAAATGAATTTTTGTAGTTCAAATAAACAAAAGTTAAGAAGGCAAGAATGGCGCTTAGAAATATTGTGAGTGTATTTGAAGTTTTGAAGAAGGATTACCAAACAGCGGCTAACAATTTTGAGTTTTCTAGTCATCACCAGAAGAGATTCGTCGTCGTAAGATCTTGAAGAAAGGTATCAAGTTTACCTTGTTGATTACTGGAGAAGAAGGTTCTGGGAAATCATCTTTTATCAATACTTTGTGTAACCAACAGGTTATTTCCAAGGCTGAAAGTAAAAAAATTGTTGCTTCTGAATCTCATTTGAGTCCTGGTTTAAATATCATTAAGAAACATGTTGATATTATTGAGAAAAATGCCACTCCAATCAATTTGGATATTATTTTAACTCCAGGTTTTGGTGATAACGTTGATAATAGTGATGTTACTGGTGATGTTATTAAATATTTGGATCAACAATTTGATGAAGTTCTTTCAGAGGAAATTCGTATTACTCGTAATACAAAATTTGAAGATGGTAGACCTCATGCTTGTTTATATTTTATTAGACCAACTTCAAAAGGTCTTAGAGAATTGGATGTTGAAGCTATGAAAAGATTAGCTTCAAAAGTTAATGTTATTCCAATCATTTCTAAAAGTGATACTTTAACAGAAGATGAAATTTCTCTTAATAAAGCCTTAATTTTACAAGATATTAAAGCAAATGGAATTAAAGTTTATGATTTTTCTCAAGAAGTTGATGAAGATTCAGAATTTTTAGATGAAGTTTTATTTTTGAAAAATAATTTACCATTTGCAATTGCTGGTAGTTTTGAAACAAAGAAAAAATCAAAAGTTGATGGTGTTGATTATGAAGAAGATGGTACTAATAATGATTATTATCATGTTAGAGAATATCCTTGGGGTACTTTTAAAGTGGAAGATTTAAATCATAGTGACTTTAATTATATTAGAAATGTTCTTTTTGGATCTCATTTACAAGAATTAAAAGATACAACTCATACAGTTTTATATGAAAGTTTTAGAAGACAAAAATTAAGTGAAAATAATAAGAAATTAAGAAAATCATCAAGAACTAGTGTTAATAATGATGAGGATGAAGCAAGTTTATTAGACCGTTATAGTTATGCTAATGAAACTGTTATCGCAGAATCTGAAGCTGAACTTTTTTCACAAGATGAAGATGCATTAAGAGAAATTCTTGAAAAAAAGAAGGCTATTGAAAATTATGCACTTGAATTGAAAGCATTAGAGAAAAGATTCCGTGTTTCAAGTATTTCACAAAATAGAAATTCTAAAATTGCAGGTTCTGAAGTTTCTACAACCAATTCTTTCAACATTTGATGATGATTGATTATATATTACTGCAAAAGATTAGCTAGAACATTTATTATATTATATATAAAATCTTTTATAAATTATTATTATTATTATTATTATTATTATTATTATTATTATTATTATTATTATTATTATTATTTAATTTCAATTTGGAATATTTATGTTAAACTTCTTTAAAAATTTGTAAATATCTTTTGGTATAGATTCATTATAATCTAAAAACGATGAAATCCAAAGTTGTATTAATTCATTAGTTTTATTATTATGTGTAATAGCTGTTGATTTTTCATCCATAACTTTAAAATCATCAGGAAATTCAACATCAATTAATTCATGTTCACCAGAAATCACCTTCACTCTTGGAATCATAAAAGCAATTAAATGATCAACATCTTCAACATCTTCCACAATTGAATCTTTTTCATACATAAATTGAATACTTTTAATATCAAAAATGCGATCTTTAATTTGTTCATTTAAATCATTAAAATTTGATAAATTGCTATAATAATCACAATCAATTGTATAAGTTAAATTAGCAGTTAATGAGAAGAAACTTTTTAAAAAACTGAAAATCCAAATAATTTTCAGATGAAGTTGTCCATGTAATATAATACAAGTTGAAATTTCATCATAAATCCGACTAATTAATGAATTATCCAATGGAATTATTGTAGCTAAAATTATAAGATTTCTCAAAGTTTGTTCTAAATCAGGCTTTAAAAACTCATATCTATTTTCACCAACTTCTTTAAGATTCAAAATACTTTTCCTTTGATAAAGTAAAGACATTGTTACGAAGAAATATTCTGTTCTTCCACAAAGATACTCTCTTTTTGAATCAAAATTATAACTAAATTTTAAAATTTCAACAATTAATGAATCAATTTTATCCATAGTAAGATTATCATATACTAATGAAGCTCTAGCACATACCAAAGATGAACATTTCATAATGATGTTTAATTTTGGATAATCTTTTTTCGAAACAATATTAGACAGTAAAGCAATTTCATGAAGTTTTAAAAGCCAATGAAAATTGTGGAATATCTCGTTATTTTCACCTGACACCAAGATTAAGTATGTTGTAATAAACCACCAGCGAACAAACTGTGAATATTTCTCAACGTTATCATCTAATTTCAAAAGATATTGTATCACATTTTCCTGACGTTGACTTCCATCAATTGAACCAAAATCTTTTGTATAATAATTTAAAAGATTGTCAAGTTTTTCATCATCTTCTAAAAGTGGACAAATTGAATCTTCTGTAGGTGATAACCTGCAAATGAGATTTGAAAGTTTATCTAAGGTTCTGGATTTTAAAAAATCTTGACTTTGATCACATTCTTCCAAATTTTCAGGAACAACTTTATCAATTGCATCATTTCTTTTTCAAAGTATTAGTAGCTCATCTAATGAAAAAGTCAAAGATAAAAGAAAAACAATGATGGTATCTTAGTTCTTACGTTTGAAGCAAATACATTTTCAATGTATGATGTGGGTTTTTGGGCTTCAAAATAGAATTTTCAAGTATTGGAGTCTTGGAGATAAATGATTCAAGTTCTTTTTGATCTTTTTCTAATAAAAGTTCCAATTTTTCAACATTCGTTTGTGAATAAAGACCCTCTGCAATTTCAGAAAGTCCAGATGAATCATAAGCTTGTCCAAGTAGAACTTCAGGTAGACATTTCAAATGATGGGGTGTAAATTCTAAAGCCATAGATATATGATGTAGTCCATATTCAAGTATACCAGCACTAACCATACAAAACCCAAGTAACAATCTATTTGGAATTGGTAAAGTAGCATAAGAGTAGTCCTTTGTGAGATTCATACAGCATTCTTCATAGTTTCCTATTATGTTAATATGCCATGCTATAATTCAAATTTTCTAATTCAGAGAAAATGTTACTAAAAGGTATCATGGTATCAAGGCTCACCCTTTAAGTATAGTTTCACAGCATCTTTGGGAAAGAAAATTCTAGTTCTTTCCACCAACAATTGTTCAAGACGACCAATCACCATCTTTTGACAGCGTCCCACACAATACCAAGCTAAAGCTTCTAAAATCTAGAACAAACTTGAAGTTCCAGTGTTCATTCAGTAATCATTTTTGTGGAGCATCAGAATTTAAAAAAATCATCACCAAAATTTTTTGTTGTCTCAACGACAAAAATTCAAATCAAAGTCGCGACTTTCAAATGTTCGTGTTTGGGCTCATTCAGATTATAAGTTGAAACTTGAAGAAAGCCAAAACAGAGGCAAATTTGTATTCCTTGAAAGGTGGTTTACGCTGGGAAATAGTTGTCTGTGTTAGGAAGAGCAAAATTAATTGAAGTTGATGAGATACCTACTGCTTTGAATGAAAGTTTCAACATAATGGCAACCAATGATGATAATAATACCCAGCATTTGCTGAAGAGTCAACCCAATGGAACTTATAATGATCTATTGGATGATGTGAGTTGATTTGTTATACTGATTCAGTGAAATGAAACCTATATACTAACTTTATCCCTTCAGACACAGCTTATACCTTTATCAAAACCAGAAAGTTTGGGGATAAGCTCTCAAAACTCAAAAGCTCCAAATATTAGACTTCTCAGTGATAATGAAGAAAATCGTATTATTGATAGTTCATTAGACTTCAAAGACTCAATAAGCACACAAGCACTTCTTGAGAAAGAACCAGATACAGTTGTTATTAAAGAATCAGATGATGTCAATACCAATAATGATCAAGAAGGAAATCAAGATGAAGAAGATACTAAATCATCTGAACCTTTTAAAAATTTCAAGCTTCCTGATGGTGATAGTCCTTGGTTAAGTAAAATTAAAGACCCTTTCAATGATCAAGATTCTCCTTGGTTGAGCAAAATGAAAGATCCATTCAAAGAGACTCCAATTAATACAAAAGTTTTTGATGCATTTAATGAAACTCCAAATTCCAATAAAAGATCCCCTAATCCTTTAAACACACCAACTGCAGCAGCCCATAAAGTGTTTCAAAGACTTCGTGAAAACAACAACATTCCTGAACTTGATATAGATTCACAATCTCTACCTGCAATGTTTAAAGATACCCAACCTATATCTGAAAATCCTACACAAGAAGAACAAGAAGAAAATATTCATTTTAATGAGACAACGATTAACGATTCCACAATGAATGATGACATTACTCATGGTGGTCATGATGATGATGATGATGATAATAAATATTTAACAAAAGATGATACAACGACAGAAATTGAACCAACTAAAAGAGATGTAACTTCTCAAATACTACCCACTACACAAGTTTTGGACGATACAGTACCCATTGATGATAATAACCAAGACACCAACCTCAAAAGTGACAATACACAAGGTGATATTCAAGTTCCAGGTACAGCTCCAGATGATGATGCCTCAATTGATGTTGAAGAAAGTGCTATAATGGATGAACCAAAAGATGCCCACTTTATAAATAACCAAGAAGATCGATCATCACCAATTAATTCTGATGCTGAAGATGAAACATTCCCCTTAAATATTGGTAGAAGGCTACAAAGTGAACCAGTTGGTGCTAATTACTTGAATATATTGGCTGAAGATAGCATTCAGAAATATCATAGAGATTTAGGGAAAAAAGTGAATGAATTACCTACAGATGATGGTAAAAGTTTATTACATTCAAAATCATTCACTAATGACACTTTACAAATTAGTCAGGGAAAAAGATTGAATTCATTACCTTTAAAATTAGACAATAATAAAATACAAATTAATCACAATGAACTGACAGCTGTACCTGAAAAACAGACACAAACTGTTATCAATTCTTCAAATGGACAATCAAAATCACAACCAACATCATCATTGAGAGTGGAAGAATCATCACCAGCAATTCGTGATGAAGATCTTTATGAATTCAAAAAAAAGAAGAAACCTTCTCAAATAGATGATCAAAAGGATACTGTTGATATTAATGGACTTGCTGAGAATGTTACACAGGAATTTTCTGATGTCGATGATGTTGATGATGAGAGTAAAATTGAGAATTCTTTGGTGGAGGAACGCTCAAATATCCATGATCTAGAAAATACAGATAGTTCTAATAGGATACGGAGATCATCAAGAAATAAAAATAAAAAAATTGATTACACAAGTTCACCTGAAAAGAGTTTTAATCAAGAAGATTTATCTGTTGTTTTAGATGCTGATACATCCCAGCTAGGAAATGATGATCATGAAACTTCTGATGATGATGATAGAGAAACACCAGATTTATCAAGTAAATTAGAATTTCCAAATGAAATTTTACGTGAAGAAAACCATGAACTCACTGAAAATGATATAATTTTCAAAAACAGTATTTGGAGTCTTGACAATACTAGATATTATCCAGGGTTGATTATTGGTCTATCTGAGAATGCATTAAGCGTGAAGTTTTTCGAATCAACAAATGAAGTTACTGGAAGTATATTTCCATTGGATATTCAAGTAGGTGATCACGTTAAAGTTGAAAGAGGATCATATATAGTTACAGGACTTGAATGTGTTATTAATGATAATGAAAAGGATGTCATTAGATGTATGAGAGGTTATGATACAGTGCTTTTAAAGAAATTGAAAGGTAAAGGTAAAAGACAAAAAATTTTGGATAATGAAATACGTGTACCTTTAGAAGAAGTTAGAATAGAGAATGAAGATTGGCATTTGAGATCAAGAGTTTTAGGTGAAGAGCAAATGATCAAACCAAAACGATTTTCAGCTAAAGATTCTAAAACTCGTAAAAGATTATTACCAATATCTTATAATGAAGATGATTTGTTATCATCAGCTCCTGTGAAAAGACCTAAAAGCAGATCTCCTGGTATATTTGATGAATGTGTCTTTGTTATTACAGGTGAAGTTGATAAAGATAGTTTAACAGAAAAAATTGAATCAAATGGTGGTTTTATTTTAGAAGAAGGTTTTGCAGCACAAATCAGCTTTTCAAATGGTGAACCTACAAGTAAATTTTTTGAAAATTTTAAATTTGCTGCTTTAATTACCAATAAACCTTTCAGAAGTTCAAAATTTTTAGAAACTGTTGCTCTTGGTTGGCCTTTACTTTTTCAAGAATTTATTGAAGATTGTATTTTCCAGAATAAATTAAAAGAAAACATTTATTCTTATGCTTTACCTTGTGGAGAATCAACAAGATTTGGGTGCCTGAAATCAGCAAACTTTTTTTTATTTATCCAAAAATGGGATTCTGGGTATAATTTATCAAGTCAATTGGATAATAATAAATTTTTGAAAGATAAAGTTGTTTTCCTTTGCTCAAAGAAAAATGAAGATATAACAAAATTTATGTTTCAAATTTTAGGTTCTAGTGAGGTTGTTCTTTTACCAATTACAAACTATACAAACTTTGTTAACAAAGCTTCCCAGTATTCTAATAGCACTAAAATATTGGTTTATCATGACAAAATTAGTGTTATTAAATCCACTCTTTCTTCTGAAAAGCCAAAAAAATCAAGAAAAGGATCAATACTGTCTCAAATTGTCCCAAGTAATCAAGAACGAACACTTGATTTGGTGGATTGGGAATGGTTAGTTCAATGTATTATTAGTGGTGATATTTTGGAATCAAAAGAACAATGTAAGATTTGAAATAAAATTCATTAATTTTTAATTTATATAAGCAATAAATAATTTTATTTAATATATTTAATAATGACTTTACAAATTATCAATAAAGAAATATTTTTGATATAATATGAATTATGTAGTTTTAAATAATGTGAATGAATTGAAAATTGAAGATATAAATAAATAAATAAGAACTATACTAACAAAATATATAATCTTTTTGGCATGTGTCGTAAAAATCATTAAGGTAAATTTGCATAAATTAATTTTTGTTTATGGTATTATATGTCTATTATAATATATTGGTTATCAAACCTTTTTGAATAAATTTTTGCAACTAAATTCATACATGTTGTTGTTGTTGTTGCTGCTGTTGTTGTTGTTGATATTTTTGCTGTTGTTGTTGAAATTGATGTTGATCTTGTTGATGTTCATTATCAAGATTAATTCTTAAATGGTAAAGTCCACCGCTTAAACTTTTAAAAATATTAAAATTCATTTCTTCTTCAAAAACATGACTATAAACAAATTGTCCAATCTTTAAAATATTTGAAGATAATCTTAATTTAGCAACTTGATAAACTTGAATTGGATTAATATTGGTTGAATATTCTGCTTCATTTAATAATCTTGGTGCAATTCCAAAATTAAATCTTGATTCATCAAATTCTTTTGTTGCTAATTTACTTTCTGGATCATTATACCCAAAATTTTTAACCATAATTTGTTCTAAATCAGCCAAAAATTTAGCAATTTTGATATAAATAGAAAAATTTTTAGAAATAAGTTTTAATTCTGATGGTTTTAAATTAGATGGAGTTATTGAAGTAGTTGGTTTATTTAAAATTCTTTTTTCAAATGAATGTAAAAATCTTGCAATATAAACAAAATTGAACATTAAACATTGTAAAGTTAATGAAAGACATTTTCTAAAATTTGAAGAATTAACATCATTGATGAAAATTAAACTAATGGTTCTTATGGAATAATCACAAGCATCAATTAAATCATCATTTTTAGCATTAATTTTGGAAAATTCTTCAGTTAAATCATTCCAACGTCTATTCCACATTGAATCTTTCATTTTAGATAAATCAATCTTTAATGATCTAATAACCAAGATATTTTTTAACAAAATTGATTCTAAATTTATATTTAAACTTTCATTAATCAACATATTTTCCCATTTATAATTTTTAACTAAATTTGAAGAATTTGAATGAAATGGTGAAATACCAGCAAAATTATTTGTTAAACTTTGTTTTTTATTAAAATAAAAATATTGTAATAAGCTAAACATAACAATATTTGCACCAAATTCACTTAATTTATAAGAAATTTGATTATTCATCAACATATCATTTATAATTTTTTCCAAATTTAATGAATAATTTAATGAACTATTTTTAACACAAACTTGTTTAAATTCATCAAGGTTTAAACAATCCCAAAAACTTTCTAAATCTGGTAAATCACATTTAATTTCTCTATATTTAATAAATGGTGAAATTTCATAAAAACATGTCAACATACTTGAAATATTAAAAATCATGAAAACTGTTCTAATTTTTGATTGATACATAATATATTCTTTAAAATATCCATCATTAATTTCAATATTTTCATGTTCAAATTTTAAACTTGTAAATTTAGAAACTTTAATTAATGTACAAAGTGCATTAACTTGTCTTAAAATAACACTTAAATCAGATTCATCATATTCAGCAAATAATCCATACAAAACACTTAAAATTAAAGATTGAACTAACCATAAAGGACTATTATGAGTTGTTGCTTTTTCAATATCATCAGTTTTTTTCCTTAAATCAAGATAAACATGAATACAACGTCTTGAAATTTCATATAAATCAGCAGAAATCTTTTTATTATTTGTGTATAACGAACCAGTCGTTGCAATTAATAAAGGTAAACAAACATGAGATGTTAAATCATTTGGTAATTCTTTATTTTTGGTATATTCATGCATATTTAATTCATTTAAAGTTGAAATATGAATAAATGGATAATGACTTAGGAATTTAGTTTTAAAATTTTCTGCAAATGAATTTAAAACATCTAATGAAGGTAAATCTGGAGGTGGTATATTAACAAATGGATATTTAGCTAATACTTTTTCAATTGTTGATTTCATATTTTCTGTAAATAATAAATGATTTGATAAATTACCATTATTTAATTGATTTTGATTTGAAAATGCATTTGAATTATTGACACTATAGTTGTTATTAGAATTTAATAATTGATCAACATCCATATTAGAAACAGTAAAATTATTAGTATTATGATTATTAATATGATTGTTATTATTTTCATTGAAAAACATATTAGATGGTGATATAGTTGAAGGGGCAAAATCATTACTTCCATAAAATGAATAACCAGCAGCTAAGATTTTTTCTTCATGATTTGGAACTTCTAATTCAGATAATAAATCATAATCATTAAAATTTGTTGAAGAATTATTAGCTGTATCATCAGGTGAAGAATTTGAATTTGAATCTTTTAAATATGATGAAGGTAATTTTGGATAAGAAAATTTAATATCATTATAATCTTCATGTTGATTTGCAAATGTATAATCATCATCATAAAATGAATAACCAAAAATATCATTTTCTCTTTTAACATTAACAGTTGAAGATTTTCTTGATTGTTTTCTTGAATGTCTTCTTGGTCTTGAATTACTTGATGATGGAGAAACTCTTGATTCTGATAATAATGAAGAAGGTGTATTTGAATCTTGTTGAAAGCCTAATGTAGTATTATGTCTTGCAAGTGTTGTTGGTCCAATTGAAACTGAACCTTGATTTTGATTTCCAGAATTTGTTATATTACCACCACCAGTGTGATTTTGAGCATCAGTTAATGAAAAATTATTCAAGAAGTCTAACCCAGGTAAAGTATTAATATCTGATAACCAATTATTAATACTATTATGATCTTGAGAATTTGTTCCTAAAATATTATCAACTGGTAATAATTGAGGAGTTGAAAATTCCACCGAATCTTGATAATTTTGAGTTTGTGGAACACTTGCATAATTTGCAGCAGAAGCAGCAGAAAATGAAGAACGACGACCTTCATTAACAAATCTATGTTGATTATGAAGTTGATTATATTGTGCACTATGACTATTTCCAAATAATAAATTTGAGTTATTTGTTGGATTTTGTTGTTGTTGATGATGATGTTGATTTGTAGAAGATGATGAATTATTTGAATTAAAAGATTCATTAGTTTTTTGTCTTTTCAATTGTCTTATAGGAGGTTGAACAGATTGAGATTCTAATGAATTTGATTCAGATTTTTCATCAATTTGATATTGAGGAGTTGGACTTGAAACTGATTTTGAACGAGCAGATTTTCTTCTTAATCTTTTAATTGCATCATCACAACCAGCATGTAATTTTTGAGCATGTCTTAATAATAAATCTCTTCTTGAAAATTTTCTTTGACATACACCACAACTAAAAGGTTTTTCCTTTGTATGAGATCTTTCATGTCTTTTTAAATGTTCATGTCTTGCAAAAGCTCTTGTACAAACATTACAAACAAATAATCTTGGTTTCCCACTTGGAGTTTTACCATTTCTACCTAAATTTTCAGGTATACTATCTAATCTTTTATTAATTTTAGAATTCATATTATTATTTGTTGTAGTTATTGGCTGACCAGCAGTATTAATAGTAGTTGTAGTTGTTGAAGTTGAAGAAGAATCATTGTTAACATTGGGTATTTCAACTTCTTGTTCATGTTGATAAGTGAAATTGCTTGAACTGAAACCTAAATCAACAGAACCAGCACCAGTATGAGAACCATCAACTCCGTGATGATAAGCAACACCATTTGGATGAGATTGATTATTCATTTGATTATTCATTTGATTTTGATTTTGATTTTGATTTTGACCTTGATCTTGTTGTCCACTTGAAGTTTTGACAAAATTGAATGGTGAATGAGTCAAAGACATTGTAAATAAAACATCAACTTATACCAATAAAGTATGTACCAAACTTTACCAAATCTTCTCAAGTGAAAAAAGAGTGTGAAAAAACCAATATTGAAAAGATCAACGCGCCAAAAACAATCAAGAGCAAGACAGACGTATAATACTGGAAAATAAGTTGAGGATTCAAACTGATCTTATTAGATAAATGATAAATTATTAAATATTGAATAAATTACACGTATAAAATTATCAAATATCCTTCGTTTCCTTTGTTCCTTTGTTTTGATTCTTTTGTTTTGACGGTTTTGGCACTTTTCTTCAATAAAAATTATCGAATTTTGATCATCAAATCTCCTCAAAAATAAAATAAATGAGCTTTATTAAACGAAAAAACTGGTACAAATTTGCGGGGAAGGCCCAGGCCCTAAATTATATTTAAATTTCAAACAATAGGCGCGGTTGCCAAAAGAGGAAATACGGTGGTATGACACCATCACGTGAATATATAGTCGGAATATAACTAAATTCTACTTTACTACTGAATCTATTATAAATACTTTAAAAATTGTTCAATTCAAGTCTCTTTTATTTATACAATCTCATCTATTCATTTTAGCATCCAGATGCTCAATCTCTTCCCTCAAATTCGCCTCTTCCACAGTCTTAACTAATTCTTTAGTACATTTAGCAACATCAAACGCTATACCTGCTAATCTTTGTTTAAAATGTTTTTCTGCATATTCTTCATTATCATCTTCACTTTCTTCTCCATCTTTACTTGATGAATTACACAGTATATCCATTCTTCTACCAGAATCTTCTAAACTTTGAACAACCCAAATACCATGTTCTTTTAATGATGCATTACGACTTTGATTCATAGAATTACTTGTAGCATCAATCATTTGTGAAACAACTGCATTAATAGCTCTAGATCCTGATCTTAATTCACCTTTAGTAGAATCAGCAGCTTTAATAGAAGTTAATAATGTTTGAATAGTTGATATGACTTTGACTGTTTGATGTTCAAGATATAATAACAATTCTGATAATGTATTATCTGGATCTTCAATATCAAAATCTCTAACATCAAAATCTTCATCTAAATCACGACCTCTTCTAACATTTCCATGTTCTTCTTCTTCTTCTTCTTCGTCTTCTTCTTCTTCTTCTTCTTTATCATAACTTTCTTCTTCTGCATCTTTGTCATCTTGTTTTTCTTCATGATCTTCATCATCACCTTTTAATCTATCACCTTTTGTAATTTCAACTGGTTTTATAACATTTTTTCCATTTTGTTCAATTAAATTAGAATTTAAATCATCTGGTTGAGTTTGAGCAGTTGCAAATCCACTTTTATCATTTTCAAGATTTAATGATTTAGAAATAGCTGAAGATTTATTATAATCACTTTCATTTGTTGATGATTTTGGTTGACTACCAGCTGTATAAGGATCAACATTAGCTTCTTTAACACTAAATTTTTGATAAGTGTTTGTTAAAGATTGTGGTTGTCTTGTTTTAGAAATATTTAATGGACCTTCATTAACTTCTTCATATGTATTTGAAACTTCATTTGGAACCTCATTCAGATCATCTTCTAATTCTTCTTCTTCATCTTGTTTATTATCATCAGAAATTTTTAAATTATTTAATTGAGGAATAGTATTGGAATCTAATATTTTAAAATTCAATTCTGGGTTCAAACTCTTTTTTTCCTTTTGTGGTGAAAATTGTTTATCTTTTGCAATAGCACCTCTAAGTTGTGCAACGGAATTTAAATCATCACTATCTTCATAAATATCATCATCATCAACAACATCATTATTTCCATTCTTATGATCATTTTGTTGATCAACTTCTTGTTCAAATTTCTCTTCATTTACACCATTTCCATTTCCATTTCCATCATCAAGACTTGATGTTTGAGTTTTTTGATCTTTTTCATCTTTTTTTGGTGATTTATTTGATGATAAACTTGCTGGAACAACAGATGCAAGAGCAGCTGGAATAACAGCAGGAATTGATGATTTAACTGTGTTTAAAACTGAATTATTTGTATTTGGTTTAGAATTAGATTCCTCCTTGGTTTGTAGATCAATAGATTTTAATAAATCATTTGTAACAGGCTCATTTGATTTTTTGGTATCAACATCTAATTTATCATTTGGTAATAAATCTTTCTTTTCTAATGATTCTGGAATTGAAACATTATTTTGCTTTGAACTATTTTGACTATCAACACTAATTCTTTTTTGACTATCAAAACTTGTTCTTCTTGGACTTAATTTACCAATTTTGGAATCATTAAAAGGACTAACAATTGATCTTTGAGGTGAAGTTTTAGAAGATTCTGAATCACTATTACCTTGTTGTTCAAATTGTCTAACTTTTGATAAAATGTTACTCGAAGATGATTTTCTCAGATGTGGTTTTGGTGGTGTTGTACCTTCTTGAGGTTTACGTTCACTTTCTGGACTATATCTTGATACTAATGAAGGTAATCCACTTTTTCTCAATGGTGTTGTAGTTGATGATGAAGAAGAAGGTGGAATATTACCACTGATTTCCTTATTATCAGAGCCATTAATACTTGAGGTATTATTATTATTACTATTACTATTCAATTTCAAACTTCTTGTTGTTGATGGAGAAGCAAATGAATCATTAAAACCATCTGATTTATTAAAATTTGATTTCAATTGATTAGGTGAAGGTGTAATAGTATTTTTATTTGAAAATTCTTCTGGATGTAATTTTTTATATTCATTATTTGCATTTTGAGGATTAATTGTAAGATTTAAAGATCTTGGGGTATTTGTATTTGTTGAAGAATTAATAGTTTTATTAATATTACTTGGAGTATTATTATTACTATTATTTTCAAATGATTTTTTAGCCATTCTTAAAGGTCTAACAGGTGAAATTTCTGATGGATCTTCATCTTCAATTTTTTTAGATTTAGTATTTGAATTTGAATTTTCAATTGATTGATTAAATTCTGAAGTATCAAATTTTGAATCATCTTTAATTAATTTAACATCAGAAATTAAATCACAAATTGTGAAAACAATTTCACTAACTGCACTTTCCACAATTAATTTTGGTAAAAATTCAGAATATAAAGCATAATATCTTGTTGATGTAATAGCATGAGAAATTGAAGCTCGTACTAAATCAATTTTTTCAGAATGTGGTGCAAAACTTATAATTTTACTTGAAACATTTGAAATTTTTGAAATATAATTAAATAATTCATTAATATTAATTTTTAAATTTGATGATTTTGTTTCTTTATTTAAAAAAAGTAAGAAATTTTCAATAGTTTGATATAAGAAATTAATCAGATTTATAGGTATTAATCCATTATTAATTAAATGTTTTGAAGTATTAATCTCAGATAATTTATTAATTGACAGTATATCTTCGATTTTTTGTAATTTTAAATCTTCAAATTTACTTCTCCAATCAATAACTTCTTTTTTCAAATCATCAAGTTGTTCTTGATTGATTGATGATGAGCCATTAGATGTATTTAGAAGAGGCTGTTCTTGTTGTAAAGATCTTGTATTAATATCTTTTTGATGATTATCAATAATTTCTTTATTTGAAATTAATTCATTTTTTAAATCTTCAATTTTAACATTTAAATTTGAGTTAATTTTTTTCAAATCATTTGATTCATTTTCAAATTTATCAGATTTACTTTGTAATAAGGCAATTTTTTGTTCTAATTGAGTTATAGTTTGATCCATTTTTGTACCTTCTTCTAATAACATTTCAATTTCTCTATCTTTATTTCTACCTTTTGATATAGATAATCCACGATTTATATTTTTCTTTTGTGGAGATGGTGTAGAAGAATCATTTAAATCTGATAAATTACTTTGATAACTATTTCTATTTGAATTATTTGAATTTTTTTCAAAATCTTGAATTAATTCTTTTGATTGATTTCTTGAATGATTTCTTGAATGAATAGAATGTATAGTATTTCTTTTTGTATCATTAGATTTTTTCAATTCACCAACATTATCATCTTCTTCATCAGAACTCCAAGCTAAATCAGCTTTTGTTGGAATAACAGTTGTTGATTGTAAACCTACAACACCATTTTTATTTGAAGGATCAGATCTTCTATCTTGATTAGATTCATCTTGATTATTATTATTACTGTTGTTATTATTATATTCATGTTTTTCATCAAGATCAATTAATTTTTCAGGAATTTTTTGATAATTTCTTCTTTCAATTTCATAAAAAATATCACTAACTAAATCTCTAAATCTACCTTGTTGTAAAGAACCTAATTTTTCTCTAGCTTCATTTCTTTTTGGATGGAATGAAGGTTTTGGTAAAAGGAAATCAGGTTCATCTCTTGATTCATCAATTCTTCTTTCTAATTCATCATAAACATCAGTACTTAATTCATAAAATTGAGTTGAAGATAATTTTAATAATTTCTCTCTAGCTTTAGCAGCTCTTTTAGGATTTGGTTTTGAAGGAGCATTTGAAACGTTCAGGAATTGTTTTAAAGCAGTATGATAAGTTCTAAGATCATTATATTGATCATGTTTTAAATCTGATGACATGATTTAACTATAATACCCACAAACAAAAACACCAAAACTTTACCACCTATAGTCCTATAGTAATAAACCAAAATATCAACCTTTATAATTCAACAGTGTTCCTTCCTATAAATGAAAATATAAGGAAGCTTTTAAAGGGAGAATTGATTAGTTTTTGGGAATATTTATTGAAAATATAATATTATAAATTTATTGGTTTTTGTACACAAAGTCTAATTTTTTTTTTTCTTTGAATGAAATTTGACGCGTTGATTTTTTTTAAGAATTTTGAAATTTTGATGAAATTCACAGATACAATCTTACGTAATCAATATAACCAATTTTATAAAATAAGTATAAATAATCTAAAAATAATAAAATAATATATAAATAGTTTCTTATTTCTTCTTCATGACTCTTAGCTTGGAAAGATACGAATCCTTATCAATATAACAACCTTTTAACCATCTTTCACCACTATTATTATCAAATTGATCTCTTGCATGTAAAATTCTTCTATTATCAAATATAATACAAGAACCTTCTTCAACTTTAAATTTTAATTGATTTTCTTTATTATTAATATAATCTTCAAATTCTTTAAAACCTCTTAGGAAATCTTGAAATAAATGACGATCACCTTTCTCTTTTGCACCTGAAATTTTACTATGATTATTATCATCACCAATTACTTCACCTGTAATACCAAAATCAAAAGGTGCTTGGAATGGAGGTGAATAATTAATTTCACGGAAATGATCTTTATATTCACCAAATCCACCTTGTTCAATAACTTCATTTTCCACAATTAAAGGTCTTGAATAATAATAAGAATGACCATTTTTTTCATAATGATAATTAATTGGAACAGTTAATAATGCCTGGTAAGCAGGAGAATCAATTGTTTTAACATGTCTTGCAGCAGCAAATCCATCAACAAATACATTTTCACCACCTTTGGATTTATTTTTAATAAAATGTAATAATTGTAAACCTGGTGGAGATTCATAATAAAGTAAATCCATATGTAAAGGTAAAAATTGATTTGTATATGCAATATTTATAGCATTTGGTTTACTTTTAACATCAAATATTTCACCATAAAAAGTTTTTTTCAAATAAGCAATTCTTTCACCAATAATTTGAATTAATTTCTGAGATTCATGTTCTTCATCAGATAAATTTTTAGTAATATTAGTTATTTGAACTAAACCAAATTTATTTAAATCATTTAAAGCAAGGGATAATGTTGAATCATTAGTTAAATAATCATTATACTCATAACGTGGTAAATTATCAACGGTTAACATATTATGATTTGAATCCCATGCAATAATTTCATCTTCAAAATTTTTAGCTTTATCTTGTTTTCTACTTTCAATTGTGGAATTTAATTCTAAGAATTTCTGATCATAAATTGAATAATCACCATCATTCCAATAGATTTTAATTTGTTTTGAATTTGGAATTTCTATATTAATTGGATAACTATTAATTATTGAAGCTGTTGTAAATAATTTTTGACCTGAATTATAATCAATTGAATTTGAAGAAGTTGATGAATCTCTTAAAAACACATTATTATAACTAAAACTCTTGTTTTCTTTTAAGAATTGGAATGAAGTTGATTTCTTATTATAAACAACTTTTATATCATTATCAATAAATTCATTAATCACTTTATTGTTATTCAGGGGTAAATTTGATTTGAATTTCCCAATTGAACTTTTATGAAATGATCTATAACTTTTGATAACGTTTCTATTAAACATGATATTGATACTTGATATTGACTTCTTTTGATGTATTTCTTGTCAAACAATTAATTTGTTTATCAGTATTCAATCAATTCCTTCTCCGGATTAATGCAACTCCCACAAATTCCTAATACCTGCAATCGCGAATGGTAATCAGATCTTAAAACATTCTCTTTATTGTTTACTTTTCAAATTATTATTCAAATCCTTTAATTTTAATACTTTTTGTTTTTACTTGTTGAAGATAGACAAGTTATCATGAAGAACATTTACAACTCATTCAACAACAATTCAAAACAAAGAACAGTACATTTCCATCCTGATGTATCTACTCAGATTCTAAACAAGTAAAGATACCCGCTGTGCTATAACCCTATAGACCCTATATTAATTAACACCAAATTAGACGCTCACCTTTGGAGAAACTTGAATTGATTCAAAATACTATAACAAATGGAATCTTAGCCAATAATTCCATAATATTAAATATCAAACCAGAAAATAAAATTGGTAATAATAATAATAACAATTCAAAATCAATATTTAAATTACCTTCAAATAATTTAAATGAATCAAGACAATTTGCAATGTGTTTAAAATTAATATCAATGTTAATTGAAAATTTAAAAAATAAAAAAATAACAACTAAAAGAGATCTTTATTATCAAGATGTTTCTTTATTTGAAAATCAATCAAATGTTGATAAATTAATTAATTCAATTTGTAAAAGTTTAGGCTTTAATAATCTTGAAATTGGTGCTGTTGCTGCTCAAAAGGGTCTTTGTTTTGGTAATATTGATATAATTGATATAAGCAATAATGATATGAAATCATTTAATATAAAAGATGGTTGTTTTTTAATACCAAGAATTAATTCAAATTTTAAAATCATTATCAAACACCCAATTGATTATATATTAATTGTGGAAAAAGATTCAATTTTCCAATTAATTTGTGACCCTTTAAAAATGTCAAATAATTTAATCATAACTGGTAAAGGTTTCCCTGATAATAATACTAAAATGTTTTTAAATCTTTTATCTAAACAATACCCTCAAATTCCAATTTATGGATTTGCAGATATAGATCCTCATGGATTAAATATAATGAAACAATATAAAGATGGTGGTGATTTAAATAATTGTTTTATGGTTCATGAAATGGATCAATTCCATTGTCAAAATTTAAAATTATTAGATTTATTATCTAATTTACATTTTTTAAAAACGTTTGATTGTTTAGATTTTAGTTTAATTGATTATCAAATTTCATTTAAATTAATTGAATCTGAATTTGATGATAATGATAATAATTCAATTGAAAATGAAAAATTTAGAAATCAATTACAAAGAACAATGTTTTTCGGTAAAAAAGCTGAAATTGATCTGATTAAATCAAATGATGATAACAAATCAAACAACAAAACCGATTTGATTCAATTTATAGATGAAAGAATTAAAATATCAAATGGTTATGAAAAGAATTGAAAAGAATTGAAAAGAATTGAAAAGTATTAATTTGTTTATTTGATAATAATTTTCAGATCCGGTTTGTGCAACACCAAAACTTTCACGAAAATCATCGACAAAGGAAAAAAAAGAACAACGAATTCAATTTTGGGTACCTTTTGAAAAAAACACAAAGCAATAATATTAAAATATAATTTGATTTGATTTATTTCTATTGTTTCAACGCGTTAATTCAATTCTTATTAAGTTAATAATTGGTTTCGTGTCATATACATTATTTTTTATTGATTTCAATTGAAAACCTTAAGGTTGTTATTACATTTCATTTTATTTTCGTGTCAAATCAAAACAATACAATATGATTTTTAATAAACTTTGGCAATTTATAATTTCTTTAACTTTTTTATTATCATGCATTAAAGCAAGTCAAAAAGTTGCATTAAATTTATCACCTTTTGCAAAAGAATGTATTTTCCATGAATTAAATGATGATGATCATTCTTTAGTTATTAATTATCAAGTTTTACAAGGTGGTAATTTTGAATTAGATTTTGAAATTACTTCTCCAAAAGGTGAATCAATAATAAAACAAACAAATGAAAAATATGCTGATTTTTTATTGAAAACTTTTGGTTTAGGTGAATATACTTTTTGTTTTACAAATCCTTTTAATGTTATTAAAAAAGTTGAATTTTCAATTGAATTAGAACATAAAAAAGATTCATCAAATTCAAAACCAAAAGATAAAGATTCAATTATTTCTGAACATTCTTTAGATGAAATTGATAGAAATATTAATAAAATTGAAAAAATTTCAAATTATTTAAGAGCAAGAGAATGGAGAAATATGTCAACTGTTGAATCAACAAATTCAAGAATTTTTTATTTATCAATTTCAATTATTTTATTAATGGTGGTTGTTAGTGTTGGTCAAGCTTTAATTGTTCAATTTTTATTTCAATCACGTACTAAAAATTATGTTTAATTGGGAGGGAAAATTCAATCATTTATGTATATTACAATATAAAATAAAAATTTAAAGAAACACTTTTTTAATTAATTGTAAAAACTATATAGTTTACTTATTTTTCAGTTGTACCAGTTAATCTAACAGCTGCACCATATTTTTGTAATTTTGTTAATAAAGCATCACCTTGTTTAATTAAAATTTGATATTGAGAATTTTTATTATCTGGACGATTTGTTTCTATAATTCCATTAACTCTATCAATAACACAATTTAATTTTTTATTTGGAATAAATTTTGTTAAATCATTATCTAAAAATTCAATTGATACACCAAATGCTTGAGCCATTGAATTTAATGATAAAGTTTTATAAGATTCTAATAATTGTGCATAAGCTTTTCTTCTCATTTCTCTAATAAAATAATTTGAATGTATTGATAAAAATCTTGATGGAATTAAATTAACATCATTTGTTTCTAATAAATATTTAAAATATAATGAATAATCACTTGTATATAATGAATTAGTTAATGAAGTAATTGGTGTTAAATTTTTTGTGGCTGGTAATAAAGATAATAATTCTGGTGAATCAATGATTTTTTCTTTTAATTCATTTCTTGAAAGTGAAAAAGCACCTGAAATTGTTGCATAAATTGCCAATTGTTCATAAGTTGTAATTTCTGTTGATGTAAATGTTGCTAATGAATCAATTAATAAATTTGAAGATTTTTGGAAATCTCTTATTGATAAATAATATAAACCTTGATAAGTTTTAAAACGATTACGACGTTCCCAATCACCACCTTTATCAATTAATGATTTAGTAAAATCTAATTGTTTTGAAACAAATGATTTATCATCATAAAAAAATCCAATTCTAACAATTGTTAAAGAAATATCAATTTTTGAACCAGTTGATGGAGTTAATTCTATAGCTTTTTTCAAAGTTTGAATTGCTTTTGTTTTATCACCAATTTTAGTATAATATTCACCTAATTTTTTATAACCTTCAGCAGTTTCTAATTGACCTTCATCTTCATCTTCAACTTTTTTAATTGATTCATTTAATTTAAAAATTTCTTCATCATTTGATTTTAATAAATTTTTATATAAATGTTCATCAAATTTAATTAAATTTGGTACATATTCTTTTGTTAAATGATAATAATATGGTGCTAATTTTTCAATTGTAATTTCTTCAATTAATTCTTTAATAATTTGTGGGTGGCGATCTGATAATTCTGATTTTGTTAATAAAAAAGCCTTATCAGCCAATTCAAAATTAGGTATTCTTAATGATTCAGAAGATTCTTTATCAGTCATTGTGAGGGTTTAAAGAGATTTCAATTGTATAATTTATAATGTGATTTGCAATTGAATAATAATTTGATAATCTTGTTTTTATTGATATCTGTGAATTCAAAATACTCAGATTTCGAAAACCTTTGAAAATATAAGTTCGCGATATTCAAATTAAGCATAGTTTAATTAATAATATATTACATAATACATTTCCCCATTCGAACCCCGTCAAGCTCATTTACACGGTTTCATTAATTTCAATTTTTAAAATTTCAAAATATTATTTAAAATTTGAAAACGTCATGAAGCATTTTTTGCACTAAAACGTACGCTAAATTCTCGAGAAATTTGCGAAAAAGTACGTATGAATTTACTTAAACGTAACGTAAGTGCTTCGACACTTCGACAATAAAGTGAGAGAATTCTTCTAAAAATGATCAACACGTATGAATTAGTTTGAACGGAGAATTTGAATTATAGAACTGTGGATTTAATGATCCGTGAGTGGTAATTACCAACTTGTAACTTGTAACCCCAAAGATACAACAATGCGTTTAGTGTGAAATTAAGCACCCCACGTAATCTATACTTGATAACATCTTAAGTAAAGATGAATAATGAATAATGATCACGATATTATATACGGCCTTTCAAACCCGATTAACTTTATGTATACGGATGATATGTTCTCCCATTCTATATGCTTTTTGTTGTTCATTGCTGGATTTAATATTTTGAAAATTTGCACCCCGGCTAACACGATCTCCAGATTTCTCCAGATGATTTTACTGGAGAGAATATGGAGGTAAAAAAATTTAGTACCGATCTTAATAAATTAAGCACAAATAAATAAAGCTAGGAGTATAGTTTTAGCCCTATTAGAAGCTTATACCCAGGATATTTATCGTTGAGTGCCAGATACTATATACCAATATATGGATCGATCCCATATGGATCAAGATAAGCTAATTGTTTTGAAGCTCCTTCAGTGTTCAGTGTTCACTCACGGAATTATCTAGCAACATCTCCGGAAAAAATAAAATTGACAATCATTCGATCATGGAAAAAGGAATGAACGTTCACTACGATATTTGAAAGTTGCAGCGTTGCAGCCACTAAGATCTCAATATTTTTGATTACTATTTAAAAGTATTGGTCATTTACTGCTCACAACTATGAAAGATCAAATAAATTAATACGGTATGCCTTATAAATTCTAATGGCTCTCAGTAGTTACTGATCTGGATCGATAACTTTGGAGCGGAACAACACGCGACGTTTAAAAAAACGATCAACTAATTTTTAAGAAAACAATTAAACAACTTATTTTAATTAATTGATACCAACAGCAGTTATAAGGATCTTTAAGTGTATTTACTGATTACTGGAACAATTATTATATCCGTGATTTAGCAATTTGAACCAGTTCTTGATCAATAAAGATATTGTTACTACACTTTGATATTTGATCGGACAGTAATTAATTAATATTCCACCGCGGAAAAACTATAGACGTCAAAGAGCGATCGATAATATCGTTATACTTAACTCTTACAATAGGCTTTAATGTGTATTATACTAGTATACTATTCAATACAAACATCATAACTTCTTCATACCCCAGCTTCTTTCAAAACCACATGTACTCTCCAGACTTTCTCCAGATAAAAGGCAAAGTCGGGTTAAAAGTATTTTATGGATATGGATGGATGTTGCCTTTTTAGACTCCTTAATTCTTTATGCATCACACCAGAATTGTGCGACGTAAAATGGACAACAACGCAACAAAAACAACAACAACGATCCAACAACAACATCATCAAGAGGTTAATAAAGAGACAACAATACCGTAATGTATAGTGCTCATAATCATCCCGTTTATTAAAGTTTAAATCAAATGGGGAATTTTGTTTTAGACAGTTTTGATTTATTTTTGAAAATATCAAATTCAAATATTTAGTTTTATTTTTCGCAATGATTACCTTATTTAGTAATTTTCGTTTATTTTTTTTCGCATAATTTCGGTGAAACCTTTTTGTTTTTGGTTTTTTTGTAACAAAAGTTTACCATCTGACGTTTTTTTTTGTTGGTGGTGTTGAAAGTTGTCAAGAAAATCCATTGAATATAAAAACCAATCACATTCTCCAAGTTTTAATAAATCTCTTTTGTGAAATACCAAAAGTGTAAACTTATATTATCTTACATTTATATTTATAATAATTAAAATTAAATTATCATAATGGTTTCTTTAGTTGAACAAGCTGCCATTAACAGAACAGTATGTGTTTGTGGTTTCTTAAAGATCTTTTTGTTTTGTTTTTAAAAATATATATTCTGTATTACAAACAGGGCTTTATATTATTGAATGAAGAGGTCAATTAAAATTATTATAATCATGATACTAACTATTGATCTGTTTTTAGAACCTTTTAAAAGGTGTCTCTCCAGAAATTCTTTCTGAAATTGAAAAAATTGAAGAAATTTTAACTGTTTCACCAGAAACTTTAAAGAAAATTACTGCTCATTTCATTACTGAATTAGAAAAAGGTTTATCGAAAGAAGGTGGTAATATTCCAATGATTCCAGGTTGGGTTTTAGAATATCCAACTGGGGAAGAAACAGGTGATTATTTAGCTATTGATCTTGGTGGTACAAACTTAAGAGTTGTCTTGGTTAAATTATTGGGTGGTTCAAAATTCGAAACTGAACAACATAAATATTCATTACCTGATAACATTAGAACTGCAAAAGCTGAAGAATTATGGTCTTTTATTGCTGATTCTTTAAAAGTTTTCGTTGATCAACATTTCCCATCTGGTACTTCAAAAAAATTACCTTTAGGTTTTACATTTTCTTATCCAGCTTCTCAAAATGCTATTAATGAAGGTATTCTACAAAGATGGACTAAAGGTTATGATATTGATGGTGTTGAAGGTAAAGATGTTGTTCCAATGTTACAAGATGCTTTAGCCTCAAGAAATGTCCCAATTGAAGTTGTTGCTTTAATTAATGATACTACTGGTACTTTAGTTGCTTCAGCTTATACTGATCCAGAAGCTAAAATGGGTTTAATTTTTGGTACTGGTTGTAATGGTGCTTATTACGAAGTTGCTAAAAACATTCCAAAATTAGAAGGTAAATACGCTGAAGATATTGATCCAAATGGATTAATGGCCATTAACTGTGAATATGGTGCTTTTGATAACGAACATAAAGTTTTACCAAGAACCAAATATGATTTACAAGTTGATGAGGAATCACCAAGACCTGGTCAACAAAGTTTTGAAAAAATGATTAGTGGTTATTACTTAGGTGAATTATTACGTTTAATTTTATTAGACTTATATCATGATCAACATATTTTCAAAGGTGCTGATGTTTCATTATTAAGTAAACCATTTATTTTTGATACTTCAGTTCCAGCTAAAATTGAAGAAGATGCTTCATATGAAGAATTAAAAGATACTGAAGCTTTATTCAAAGAAATTTTAGGTGTCGAAACCAACTTAAATGAACGTAAATTAATTCGTCGTCTTGCTGAATTAATTGGTAACAGAGCTTCAAGATTGTCAGTTTGTGGTATTGCTGCTATCTGTAAGAAAAGAGGTTATGAAACTGCTCATTGTGCTGCTGATGGTTCAGTCTATAATAGATACCCAGGCTTCAAAGAACGTGCTGCTCAAGGGTTAAGAGATATTTTCGATTGGGATTTAGAACCAAAAGATTATCCAATCATTATTGTTCCAGCTCAAGATGGTTCAGGTGCTGGTGCTGCCATTATTGCTGCTTTAACTGAAAAAAGATTAGCTGCTGGTAAAAGTGTTGGTATTAAACAATAATTTAATCACAAAATATTAGGAAAATGGGTTTGATGTTTGACATGATTAAAAAAAAGCCAAAAAGAAAAAAAAAATATAAAAAAAATATTAAAGTAACGACCAAATGAGATATGTATTTTATATGATTTTATAAAAAAAGAGTGGGGAACCTTTTTCAATGTTGTGTTTTTTTTTATTTATGATGTTGAAATTTTGTTATCAAAATTTTATTCATAATTTAATGACCCTCTTTTTTATATTTATATATATGTTTGTTTTAAAATAGATGATTATAGAGTTAAAATTTATACTTGACTTTTGGGTCTCTTTGTTCATGTATCAAATCATAATATATCCGACCAATTTGAGATTATCAAACTGTTTAAAAATAAAAGCGGTCTTCTCAAATGGTATCTACATTTTAACGACAGTGCAGATAATCTACAATGACATATGTTTAGTACATATAAATTAGTTTTGTATAATTATATTAAATATTTTATAGCTTTCAATTAGCTCATTATTATTATTATTCATAAATTTCTACTCCAATTTTAACTTTTTCAGAACTACCTCTAGATAATTTACGAATTTTCTTTTGTAATGTTAAAATTCTACCACGGACACTTGCACTTGTTTTGATATCATCATTAGAAATCTGAACAATAACATCAAATTTTCTTTTTTCATCTTCATCTTTAACTTCCATATCTCCATTTACAATTTTAAAATTAAAAGCACCATCTCTAATATTACCACCTGGATGAACACCACAAATGACATACATTATAGCACCACAATATTTGGTCCACCAAACAACCCTTTCCATTTCAATTTTATTACCATCTCTTTTAACTAGATCACATAATGCAGTTTTAAAATTTTCTTCAACATCTGGCAAATCACCACCCCAACGATCACATAATGCAACACCAATTAAAGCCCTAGTTCTATGTGATAACCCATGAGATCCAGCAATTATACCTGTTGTGGCAACATGTAAAGCTGCAGTACATTGTAATTCTTTAGGATAGGCACAATGAACAAAAGCCAAGTTACATAAAGCTGGTGCAATTCTTTCTCTAACTTCTCTTGGGACATATTTTTCTGGCAATGCAGTTTTTAATAATTCAAGATATTTATTTGCTAACAATGGAGCATAAGGTCTTGATGCCATTATAAGTGGATCTTGTGAACGTATTTCTCTTGGTAACATTGAATATAAAGCACCTTCTCTAACACCACCCTCAGCAAAATGAACTGTTTTAATTTTTGGTAATGAATCACAAGCAGCTGATACCAGTAATCCAACAGCAGGTAATTGTGAACGTCTACGTTCACTGACTCTAAATATAGAATCTTTTTGAGGTAATGAATCTTTTAAAAATAGAAAATTTGAAATGTTTATGAAATCATTGAATGAACAAGAAAACCCATTAATAATGGTTGGAATTGGATATTGTTTAATGTCAGCTATTAATGCATGACCCAAACCTCTAAGACCACCACCGCAAGTATATAAATCAAATCCACCGTTTTTTTCAGCTTCTTCTAATAATTGTGGTGGAACATCTATTTTTTGAAAAGCTTCTTTATAAGCATTTTGAATTTCAAAATATAACGATTTTTTATCTTCAAATTGTAATCTTCTTGTTAATGCAGCAGCTCCATAAGGTAAAGAAACAGGATTTGAACTTAATGTTATCTCTCCATTGACGCATTGAATCCATGAAATTTGTGTTGAACCACCACCCAAATCCATAAATAGACCTGAAAGTGAATTAAATGAAGATGCAACACCATAAGAACCAATTCTACCTTCATCTTCTTTATTCAATAACTCAACTTCCCATCCAGTAGTGTCATAAATAGCATCTCTAAACTCTTGAGAATTAACAGCTTCCCTTGTAGCTTCAGTTGCCACAATACGAACGCCTGATTCTTGCACTCCAAAATCTTCACAAATTAATCTGAATCTTTTCATTGCAGCGCAAACATCATTAATGATTTCTGTTGGTATAGGTTTTTTCTCGTTGGAGTCTGGGCTGAATTGAGCATCAAATAAAGAGATACCAACTCTATCTTTGAAGACACAAGGCATAATTCTTGCATGGTGAGATGCTTTTGATGAAATACTAAACCTTATACCATTAGATCCAATATCCACAATACCAATCAAGGCTCTTCCAACAACTTCTGCTTCATCTTCTGTGTCATTTGGTGAAATAGATGACATCTCTTAATTTAATTTATACCTTTGCGCTAAAAACTTCTATGTTCAATAATATATAACTTTAAAAGGAGTGGGTGAATGGTAGAATTGATCAGATGCAACCAAAATAATTGACAATTAAAATCTCTATTAGTGATAATTGGTAGCTGGAGTATATATCCAAATATTTATTTGATACGCTTCAATGTAATATTAGCGTATGGAAAGAACGTTGGTTTTTAATTGGCTGAACCTGGTGATATCAAATCTCCTTTGGTTGAAATGTTTATCTTTTGATGATGTTGATATGGACTTTTTTGATTCATCTTGAGCCCAACCCAAAAAAAAATAAAAAAAATTAAAGAATTCAAAATTACGTAACAACAGTTCAATTTTGTGCAGTACATATCCAAAGAAACAAGAAAGTGTTTGAATTAATCATCAGATTGCAATATTTCAAGGAACAATTAACGAGACATCAAAACCAATGGATTCAGTATACTCAACAGGCCAGACAGGCGAATTTGCAACCACACAAGAAGTAGAAGAACAGATTGATGTTACCAAACAACAAACAATAAATGGAGCACAGGAACAACAAAGTGAAGAAGAATTAGAAGTTCAGTCAGAAATAACTAGGGAAGAAGTGCTGCAAGAAATTTACTCGAATAATGGGACCTACGATGAAGATGATAAACAATCATTTTCTATTACAAGATTCTTGGGAAGATTATCGGTGAATTTGATATTACCTTTCATCAATGGGTTAATGTTGGGTTTTGGTGAAATAATAGCTCATGAAATTGGATTCCATTATAACTGGACAGGTGCAAGAGTGAGTTAAATACGATTATATTTAATCTACCAGAATACTAACATAATAAACAGGTGTACCCACCAAGAAGAATCGCTGAGAAAAACAGTAAGCTCTTATAGTTTCGGAACTTCAGGTATATATAATTTTAAATGGTATGAGATACGACATGGATACATTTTGTGACCAATTTTACCTTCAAATTTGACGTAGTTTCCTACAAAAATAAGTAATGTGCTCCAACATTAGGTTTCTGAGATTCCACCATCATATTTCTTCTTCTTTATTATTCTTCGAGCTAAACAATACATAATTTCTATCTTTTCCTACTGGGTATCTTTTGGATTGCCCACACTGACAGATTAATTGATATACTTCACTTTGTTTATCCGCATTTTCGAGTTGAATCTTTGAAGTTTTCCCAACGATCTGTTGTCTATGGCACTTTTTACATAGGGTTCTTTTGATCATTGGATCCAATTTTAAAACACTTCTTTTCGTTACTGAATCCATAGTTCTTGAATATATTCTTGAAAGGGGCTCATTTGAAAGAGAAAGTGACTTTGAGGCCTGATATAAAAATGAAGCTCTAGAAAATCCTTCTCTGTTATGTATAGCTGGTTTCTTTGGTACCTTTTGATTTTGTTTTTGACTCTGATTTTGCTTTTGCTTTTGCTTTTGCCTCTGTTTTTGATCTTGATTATCGGTAGTACTCATTGTAATTTTGGATTCAGATTTAATATATTAGATTCAAATTTCAGACCTTTAACTCATACTCTTTATATTTTTGATAATTTTTAGTTATAACAGAGATGATAAATTTGTTTATATATCTGTGTGTGCCACATAATAATAATTATAATATATTTTTGTTTTACCCGGAAGTCCTTTGATCGTTTGAGCGCGCGCTTGATTATGAGAGATCGCAGTTAATAAAGTGGAATACTGATTAGTATTTCTATAAGAACAATCAATTCTCAATATCAAATAAATTGAAACAAAAGTTCATATAATGAGTGGATACGATCGTGCTTTATCTATTTTCAGGTATGCTTTCTATGTTTGAATGAGAAGCCAGATAGAAATTTCAATTGGGATGATTCAAGTTTCTATTGCCACTCAATTCAACTATTTCAAATGAATAGATTTATTAACAATTGATTTCTCCCAGTCCTGATGGTCATGTTTTTCGTAAGTTATGAGTGAAACTCTTTAAAGAAAACACCCATTAAAGAATGTTACTAACAATTTACTTTTCAATTAGAAGTTGAATATGCTTCAGAAGCTGTCAAAAGAGGTACATGTGCTGTAGGTGTGAAAGGTAAAGATGTTGTTGTATTGGGTTGTGAAAGACGTAGTACTTTAAAGCTACAAGATCCACGTATTACACCAAGTAAAATAACCAAGATTGATTCCCACGTATATTTGGCGTTTGCTGGTTTAAATGCTGATGCAAGAATTTTGGTTGACAAGGCAAGAGTTGAAGCTCAGTCTCATAGATTAACTTTAGAAGACCCAGTTACCATTGATTACTTGACCAAATACGTTGCCGGTGTTCAACAAAGATATACACAATCTGGTGGGGTAAGACCATTTGGTATTGCAACTTTAATTGCCGGTTTTGATGAAAATGATACTGTACCAAAATTATATCAAACAGAACCATCTGGTATATACTCCGCTTGGAAGGCAAGTTCAATTGGACGTAGCAGCAAGACAGTCCGTGAATTTTTGGAAAAAAATTATACAGAAGATTTAGAAAAGGAAGAAACAATTTCATTAGCTATCAAAAGTTTATTAGAAGTTGTTCAAACTGGTGCAAAAAATATTGAAATATCTGTTCTTTTACCTGGTAAAAAGATTGAAACCTTGAGTAATGATGAAATTGTGAGCTATGTTAAAAAGATTGAAGAAGAAAATGAGAAAGACGCTGAAAAAAAGAAGACCACCAGTAGCTCAGCTTAAGTTTTATAAGTGACTCCATGTTTAAATTATTAAGCATTTGTGTATACTAAAAGATTTATATTGAACATATTTCTTTGTAGACCACTCGACATATTCAGTATTGTAATATAAGATATATTTAATTACTGCAATAAACTTAGGTACGTTTAAGTAGTGAAGTTTTTCGACTAATAAAATTTATTTTAATTACTTCGTTAATTATTGATATTTTGTGTTAATCGGAAACTTATATAAGATGCCTATAATCAAGTTTAACACATATTACATAAATCCTAAATCTTGGTTGATCGCTAATAATCTTTGTTTTGGATAGTTTATCATGTCCCAAGCTGTCCATAACCTTCTATGTATAAATATAACCATGTAGTATATATAGGTCATGTATGTGTTGAAGTACTGTTCATTTAATATTATTTATTATTTATTCCTTTGACACATCCTGACACCATTTGAGATTTGGTTTTATGTCATTCATTTATTCTATGATTTTGAGTTCTTTCAGCATAACGAAGTTGCACTTGATCAGGTCATAAATCAAACCAGCAAGATGAATGGTGCCATGAGAAACTTGAACGAAGGCTCTTATCAGCCTTCTTATGATATTGACCAGGTCAAACATCTCAACTTTAATGATCTTTCTTTAATAAAATTGGAAATCGAAAGTGAACTGGAAAAAGCATTTGATATATTAAATAAGGTATGTATCACTAATATTCATTTTCAACTACCCGAAAGCTAACACTGTGATTAGAATAATGTAAATATGGATACTTCTTTGGTGACGCTTGATGGGTTTCCAAGATCTGATATTAATGTTATTGAAGTAAGAAATTCCAGAGTAAAAATTATCAAATTAAGAAACGATCTGAAAGCGGTTATAAATGAGATCAGTGAAAAGATTCAAACTCAATTGACAGAAACGAATACTTCTCAAGAGACTTTCAAGCCAAACAGTCAAATTCCCTTTGCAAAAATAGTCGAAATCATTCCTAATAGCCCTGCTAATAAAGCGGTATGTTTTTTTCGTTAACTTTTCATATTTATAATATACTAATTTTACATTTAAAAGATGCTAGAGCTGAACGATAAAATTTTAAATTTTGGCAACATTGATGCTACGAATCACAATAGTTTACAAGCAGTTGGATTGACAGTAAAAAATTCAGTGGATGTATGTATACTGGTATTTCTAAATCGAAATTATATATATTAACAACAAATGATTTTAGAAGCCTATTGAAATAAAGGTACTAAGAAAATCTCAAAAACTTCATCTTGAGGTGATACCTACAAACAATTGGTCAGGTCAGGGACTATTGGGTTGTCGCTTTGTACAGATTTAGTTGATCAAATATGTTCTTTTCAAAATAGACATCCTCTGCGATTCCACTAACCCCCATGTAATGTAGAAGTGAAAGCAATAACGTCACCAGCTTCAAGCTCATATCCTTCTTCGCCTTCCAGTTCCCAATCGGTATCATTGATCAATGTTAAAATACCAGGACGTCTAGAAAAAGTAGTTTTGTTAATATTAATTTTATAATAATGGTACTAAAGATGTAATACATACATGGTTCCATTTTCTAAGAAGACTTCAACATCTTTAGGATCTTTTATCATAGTGTCCACAATAAATTTTATAAGATCAGCAACAGTGGACGGTGAACCGTCTTCATTTTGTGGTAAGTCTATTTTGTAATACCTTTGACTTTCAAATATCACATCTAGTCCACCACTGAAAGTAGGTTAGTATCTTCGTATAATAGTAGGCAATATGGCTCTAAGTTCAACATACAGAAACTCTAGCTTTATAGGCAATCCCATCTCCCTTAAAATTTCACGCAAAGTTTTAAATCTACCTTCTGCTGTCAGCCTTCAGCCTTCATTCTTCTTTCTATTACTCCAGGTACTAAAATAATTTTTTTCAATTAATTAAATCTTTTTCGCGAATAATAATAAAAAGAATATTTATTCTAAAGATTGGTTTTGTGATTCAATGTTGATATTGAATATAAGTTTGGCTTTTTTTTGGCAATTCTTATTTTTCCCATTTGATTAAGTTTCTTCAAGACATCAATGGACTTCAAGGACTAACTAGCTTTTGAAACAAGGTATGATTCTGCCCAAGTCTTTATCATTGTTTTTCTGCTGAGCTCCTTTCCAGTTGTGGTTTAATCTTTCTGTCATTCACCAAACTCTAGGGTTTTGAGTTTTCAGGTCATTATCCTCTTAGTATACTGATTATTTTTTTGAAATATGGTATTAATTCAGTTGTGCTTGAGAACAAAAACAAGAATTTAAAACAATCCAAAGAAACAAATAAGAAATTTGGAGAAAGGTGAAGAATATCAATGAATATAATTTGGGTGTATTGATCAAAACCTGTCGTTTTAATTTTATGAAAACTGATCATAAGTATTCAAGATTTTATGGCTGATTTTCAAGGCTGTTATCAAAAAAGGACGTTTTATAGTAATTTGATAAAACGATGTCAGTTGGTTCAATAGTGGCATGGGAAACAGAATAACGTACAGAGAAGTCTAAACACACCTAAAATTTATTACCAGCTCCAAATTCATAAACCACTAGAGGAAAAGTTTCAAAAATAGAGAAATAAGAATTAGACCATCAAACTCTGCGTAAAGTTTATTTAATCAGATTAGTTTGATATCAATGAAAATAACTAAAGCATGCTTTTGAAACCCATGGCCGTCTCAAAGCTATCATATCAACTGAACTTTAACTATAAGATATTATGCAAAAAATATATTAAATTAACAATAAATTAATTCAAATCTCCCTTCAATAGTCATCAATCAGACTTCTCATTTGCTGTTGATAATAGAGGATTCACTAATGAAAAACAAAAGCCACGGATTCAATCCATTGAAAGCTATACACCTTGCACCTTTTCCAAAAACGCTGTTCTTCGAGCAGCAATAGAAATGTCTCCAAATTAAGAAGTTCGCCCTATATTCTCAGACCATAACTTCGGCTTTGAAGACACAGTCTATTGAGTAGTATACATATAATATTTTAAAGATTACAGATTACAGATACTGGAACTTTAGGCGCTATAGATCAAAGACTAGTAGTACCAATCTAATTCCTCGGTCGTTACAAGGCTTACTTACTTGTAACCTTGTAGTAATATAGTAATAGATCCAAAGAAAGAAAATGAAACTGGGATAGGATATACTGGTTGAAGTGAACCATCCTTACTCATTAACCTTTAATAGAAATGAAAAGGTGAAATCTCGAAACGTTTCAATTGCAATTTTGTTCACTACCTTATGTGGAAGGTGTTGACTGAATTATTTTTAGTGAAACCTTTCGGAAATTTTGTGAATGAGGAAGTTCCAATAAAGAGTTAAGACTTTAAAAGTTAGATCAACTAAAGTTCATTGTGTTCTACTTAACGAAGAAATAATCAACTTAAAGATGTTTTCTTATTTGTATTAATAGTTACAACCTTAACCACAATACAGCTAAGTTCATTTAATTTTTTTAACTGTTTCGAAACTTACACCAGAAATAATCTATCTGAACCATTTTCCATCTCTTTTTCGATCTTACAAAAAGAGATTCTTTCCTAAACTCTTCACATTAGTTTAACGTTTGGGCAAATTCGGGCTTCCTTATAAGTTTATTAAATCAGTTAATTAAATGATTAAACAACATTACTGTTTCATATATATCAAATTGAACAGTTCTGTATGGTTTGAACAATCGTTTCAAGTATTATACCTGTAACATCGTCTTGTAGAATACAAGCACCTCATAATTTTGTTGACTTACTACACACTCCATATACATAAATCAAAAAAATAATTAAAACCAACCCACTACCACTTCAGCATTTATCTTTATTCATTCCATCACCTTATAGATTTTCTAACTGAAAATTAGATTTCATCAAAATCATTGAGATAATTATTTTATTCGATACTTTTCTAGGTTAGTGATTGTCAATTGTACTCTTGGTTTTCAAAAATATATAACACAACTAATATAATTGATTATTAGACAGCTAAATCACATCATGTATATCATCTTCCTGTATCTGTTCTCTTAACTTAAAAAACTTCATTGATGATTTACGATATCTTTATTAGAACTTGAAAAAACTGATTAACTCGAATACTGCACTTAAAACTGAAATCAACTATTTTGAACTAATGAGAGCAGTCTGGAAGCTGAGAATAGGCCAAAAAACAGCTGGAGGTTTGGTGGTAACTCTTATTTGAAACTAGGTTGGCATCTGGAAAGTAATAAGGCATAAAATGGCTGAATGGCACAAAGACAACTTCATTAATTTGCATATACGTTGGGCTCAGGTTTGAGATCGTTGCTAGTACAGACATATTTCTTTCACAAATTCTATATTAAACCTATACAAAACTTAACTATATAACTAATAGACTGTTGGATGTGTTGATACTTATACAAGATATATACTTTGTGATTAAAGGGAATTGTAAAAGAAAGATTAAAAGAATAAATGAGAATTCAAAGAGTCCAAATTGTCTATTAGTTATTAGTTAAGTTTTGTATAAGTTTGATATACAGTTTGTTATAGAGTGATGAGTAGAAAATCTGGTACGATCTCTAACCTGCAATAGGATGGAATGATCCAATGACAAAGACATTGATTAATAATGATTATATATATTAATGATTATAAATGTGATTAAAAGTAAAGATTCAAAAATAACCGAATATATAGAAAAATCAAAGTGTCTATTAGTTATTATGAAAATAAGTTTGTTAACTTGAACATAGTAGTTGTAGTGGAGAAGTGAGTATTCCTGTTACGATCTCTAACTTCCAAGAGAATTTTGAAAATATGTCCAAGTTATCTATAGAACGGCTTTCTAGTGTTAATGCGCCGCGATTATGTAAAGCTACTGGATGAATTCGACCTTTTAAAGCTCAAATCGGCTGGTCGATATCATATGATATTGAAAAAATTTGAAGGTGGTTTATATCGAGATTCGTTTCTATTGTTTTGAGATTAGAATATTTTATGGTTGAATGTCAAATAAAATGAATACACAGTTGATCATGTCATCATGATTAATCGTTGATCAGGTTATGGAAAAAAAAAATTCTCTCACTAGTAACATTAACTAGTTTCGTATCTTAATAAAAGATTTATTGCTTCATTACCTCATTTGCGATTTACCGTATACTTACATCTCAACTCTCTTGCAGATCATTGGATATGCCATGTATTGCTTATAGTGGTTTAACAGAATATGTTGTTGAGGAAAACTTGTCATCCAAGTCTTTATTATATATTTATATAAAAAGAAGCTGATATGCATTTGATTTTCTTTTTTTATTATAACATTGCCTTTTACTATATCTAGACTTACTTGAATACCATGAGAATAATTTATAGCACCATGTTGTAGTGTCTTTCTCACAAGTATTATACTATCTAGTTTAACAACAACCGCTCCGATACATTATTTTGCTGCTATTGAATAAAAACGACTTCCAAATTGATGAATAAAGTAAGACATACATTTGTTTTGAGTACTTGCAATATAAACCATGAAAATCGACTTCCTCACTGAATGACAAGGTAAAACAGTTTAAATGACATATTGATAATTTGATCACTTTAAGTCAGTCATTCTAAAAAGGAGTATGCTTAGTTAATACTCACATCGGGTTATAATATGCTGTATTTGTTCACCTAAGTTTTTTCTCATTCAGTATTTATGAAGTGCCAAGGAAGACTGAACCTTCTTTAGGGTATAGCTGTGACGAAATATTCAATATATATATATATATGTTTTTTTATTAATGATATGAATAATGACCGCAAAGAATTGGTTTTATGGTCTATAATGTGGGCTGGTTGTATTTTATAGATTGGCCATCGCATATAGTATTGAAATTTTAGTAACTTAAACTCTGGGTCCTTTTTAACTTATTGGGGCAAAATGTTTTGGTGATGATAGCTCCAAAGACTATAATAATTTAAATCATTACAATTTACTACTAATCAACTGATGAATGCCGATTCAAAATCATCAACTTGTCAATCTCGAATTTCTCAGGTTTCATCGCGTTTATCTGAACAATCTATTATCTGTCCAATTAATAAAGGTACTACTAGGTTTCTATATAAGAGTGTATAGCGTTAACTCATAGGAGCATAAGAATCAAACAAATGAGATTCAAAAATAATCTAGTTGCCTACTCTCCAGTCAGATTGCATGACACTATATGAGATTTCAAAATGTTGAGCCTTTTTTATATAGAATACCATCATAATTTCATCATTTCATTATACACAATTTAGTATAAGTCCAAATCTAGTGTAAAATCGATGAAATTCCTAAAAGAATATTCATTACAGGTACTGACGCTGATGTTGGTAAGACCTTTATCTCTGCTTTACTCTATACATGAACTTTCCAACAGTTAAGAGAATTAAAAGGTATGTGTTGGGGTTAGAGCTAGTATACATGTTATTGTCATCATAGTAACAGTTACATACTTTACCTAGTTAAGTCTTCTTGACTAACAATAAACTAGAACAACAGTATGATCAAACGAGCTATAATTGAAATTGGAATACAATATAATTAATTATCTGATCTCAAGACATACAGAATGCTATGCTGTATCACGCTACTTCAAATCAATTGAAACGAAATTCAAGCTGTAAATAAGATTCTATGTAATATTATATGGTTTTAGTTCGGCGAGAATCTTTAAAACTATTTAAAAAAGATATATCCAAAATTTCTGGAAAGTATGCATTCCAATAAATAACTAAGCTTTCTCTGACTTCTTTAGGTATAAAACTAGAGTTATTCGTCTTAATATTCCTTTGTGCTTATCACTACAGTTAATTTTAAACGAAAATCAGCCAAACCAAAATATAATGACAGTATTTTAACTCACTTCTAAAAAATCCTGAACTAGCGCTTATCATAGATAGAGCTTTAGTCTGATCTTGAAATGAATTTGAATAGGTTAATCTTTCACATCAGGTCACCGAAGGACCCACCAGATCTAATGGATGAGGCATTTTTTTTGCAAACTATTGGTCTTCTCCAGCATATGTACATTGGTCGGCATTTTATAAATTTCTAAGCGAAAAGCCTTCATTATGAATCGTTAGTTCAATGGCTGTTATGCTATTGGTATCAATAATGATTATATTTATGATTTTGTTCCAGGTAAAAATGGATTATTTGTTGCCTGTGGTGGTTCTGGTCATGCTTTTAAGATGCTTCCAGTACTTGGACAATTTTTAGTTGATAAAATTGAAGGTCGTTCAAATATTTATACTGAAACCTTCAAATGGAAGTATCCAAAAGATTTCCCCAAAGATGTTAATGGTTTGAAAGAGAAATTGAAAAGTGAAAGACAATATGATAAACAGGTCTTATCAGGACCTGAAGGTATGATATTTTGAAATTTTGTAATTTAAAGTTATATCAATAATATAGATTTATAGCTCAACAATTATAATATAATCTTTTAATTATAACCGTATAAAAGTTGTAGGATAAATGTAAGTTTTTGGTTTGAGTAATGATCCGAGCCATCAAACACAATATCTCAGAAAATAGACGACAGTACATGACTTCAAAAAAATATGAGATTTCATGAGAGCCGGAATAAGTAATGTCATGTTATGCTAGCAGGAATTAATACTTAAATTCTGATTTCTTGGGATCAAACATGAATGATTTGAGTATTCAGCTTTCATAAGAATACCCATAAATCATTATAACGAAACATAACCATATAAGCATAAGGTTTGAAAAAAATTTATAAATTTGATAATTTGAGTAGCTGGAATTGGCTTATAACGCCCGAATGAACTTTCCAATAATATCCCAAAAGAAAAGCAGCTGTGGGTGTGGTTGATTTGGAGGAAAAAACGACTCTGAAGATGAAACACGGATGAAATGAAGCGTCCCAATGACATAATGTAATTCCTATAACCCACATAAAATTTTGGAATTATAATAACATCTGAACCATTACCAAATCATATAGCAAAGTTTAATGAAATCTCTAATAGATGTTCACTTGAAGTAGTAATCCTATAGTTTAGCTATGAGTTTCCTTGATATTCATCAAATTCTTATAATAGCAACAATAATTAATTATTAACGGTAAATTAAGCAAATTTATCAGCGATCACAATAACAGTCCTTATAAAGAACTTGAAAAAAAATTCAAAAATCTTCATTAAGCTTCCATGAAAGCTTTTTCAGAAGTTATTGGTTTGAAAATCTTTCAACTAATGAGTACACAAAGGTTTTGACTTTGAAATAAATGAAGATTTAAACAGAGGAAAAACTTATTCTGCAAACATTCACATCCATAATGTTAAACATAATTTTTAAAAACACCAATGATTAAATAACTTTCTGAGAAGCCAACAAGAATCAATTTTTATTAAGGTGATTTTGGAACTTAGCATAAATAGTATCTATGATCTTTAGGTGTAATGTAATATATGTCAAGCCTGATTCAAAGACTTCAGAATTTATAATGCACACATGTCATAAAAACGGCCGGCACTCCCAAGATAATCAAAGTATGCATAAATCATCATTCATCAATAAGCCCTGAACATACTGGTTATAAAACTCTATTAAAGTAAAAAAATCATAATAATGTAATAGATATTCAACCTTTATATCATATACCATATAACTTACCTAAATATTATTCAAACCTGATTTAAAGACTTCAGAATTCATAATACACATACTTCATAAAAAGGGTCGGCACTCCCAAGATAATCAAATATAATGTACTAAACTATCGTCCACCAATAAACCCTGAAAAATCTGGTTATCAAAACTCTTGAATTAAAACAGCACAATGGAACCATAATCATGTAATAGACCAAAATATTTTTCAAACCTGATTTAAAGACTCATGATTCAATAATACACACATGTCATAAAAAGGGTCGGCACTCCCAAGATAATCAAAGTATGCATAAATCATCAATAACCAAATAAACCCTGAAATATGTAAAGCCTAATCTCCCACAAATGATAGAACCAGGTAATCTCTGGAGCTATAGATCTGGAATTGAAACATTAACACCACAAGAAATACATAAACAAAGATCATAGCGGAGATTCAACCCCTGTACTAAAAAGTATAATCAGCTGAACCAATGTTTGAATGAAGAAAAGAAGCAGAAAATAAAAACAAAAAAGTAGAAAAGAAAAAAGGGAAAATGAAGTCTTTATATTTTTTTCGGGTTTCCAAAACACAAAACACAAAACACAAAATACGAAACACAAAACACAAAACACAAAACAAACAAATCAACACAAAATATGCAGATTGAACCATGTAACTCTTGGCTTTTGTTTCTGTGGATTTTGATATGTATTTGAATCTGATTAATTATCTCAGTGTGATTGTGACACAAAACTGATTTTTACCACGTAAATCCCAAATTTCCCAATTTATGCCTAATAACTCATGGACTAAGTATTAATGAAGCTATCATTTATTGGATTAACATAGTATGCTAGTAGTTATAATCAGTTTCTATTAATTCGACTTCGACATCGGCTTACTCTAATTGTATCAATAGTATTACAAATTTGTCTAATTTCCTAATTTGTATATTTCTTATACGTTTTTCCTAGAAATTTAGAATTAATATCTAAAGCGTAATATCATCTGTTTTGGAAAATTGAAAGACAATTTACTCTTATAATTGGGGTTTGCATATGTGATTGAGCTTAAAGGGGTGAAGTCTATTCTTTTTATTTATTGCAGGTTTTGGGTCCTTATAGGAAATGAAAACAATTTAGAAAAATTAATAACATTTCTCCAAATATTTATATTCCACCCCAGATTTGAGACAGTGGTTTTTGGTCAATAGACATCGTGTTATAGACTTACTTACTGTGCCAAACAGACCAACGCTTTTTAATTCAGCGGTATGTATATTAACTCAGTGATTGACTTTTTTTAAAGAGTCCTCGAAAGTATTTCTCTAAATATGATTTCCGGATGAAGTATCTTGAAACTTTGGGAAAGCTATTCATTTATAACCATACTTCTTTTTACCAATATCAAATGGTAAATACTTATATTTTATCATGTGTTGAATCTGTCTTCTCATTGTTAATGAAAATAATATAATAAAATACATCAAAAGAATTGGCCAAAACACAGGAACATCAGTTATAGTGAATAATGACAAAAACAAAGATAGTGAAGTAGCAACAGTAGCGCGGTACCAGAACTTGAATTCTGATAGTCTTCTGATAAATGGTTTGAATTCTTGTGTCATTTCACCGGCTTCTATAGAATCATCTTGTAGTTCCTGTTCAATGGAAGGGTCAAATTTTGGTTGTAAAAAAGCTAAGAATAAATTCAATAGGTATATACCTAAACCATAACATATGATGTACCATCCCTGAGCAGTGACTATACGAGTGAAGAACGTCAAAAATAAAACTGCAAACCCAGACCATCTATATTTGACATGAGGTGTTGATTGATCTAAAAACCTTTGGTATGTAACATTGAGTTTTTGAATTTGTTGAAAGAAGGGATGACTTTTAGCGTCTTCAAGAGATATATCTTCCATATTTTTTTAGAAAATGAATACTTCAAGCTTGAGTGAGGCGGCAATTAGTGAAGGAAGTTTAAGATCTGGATGTTGTTATGAACAGAGTTTGATGATCTGTTTAATTTTTCGCCCAGTCAAGTTTTCGCGCTTCCGCGATGCTGCTCGTATAGAGCACATTCGCGTTTAACGCGTTTATTTAACTGTCTTCGGATAAAGCGCCTAAGCCGTAATTTGTAAAGACTTCTTCTCAATTATATTGGGTTTGTGGTTTGTAGTATCCATTGTTCATATTTACACCTTTATCTCTTCTTCTGTCTACTTTAATATGTCTGAATAACTTAAATATTGTGCCAGTTCCTCTTAGGATCGTTCCATTCATTGGATCTATTACTTAGATGACATGGTGAAAACTGTTCTTGAGTTTCTTGCATTATCAATCGAGGTGAGTTCAATTGTGGTTTATCATCTTGATATCCTGAGATTCAATCAATAAACTAACTACGATATATAAAGCTTTTTGCCATCTCGGTTCAAATAAAAAAAATTCAGAGGTCAAAGTCTATATATGGATACTCTTTGGGCTATCTTCTTCTTGAGGTGAGTATATTCAAGTCTTATAGAGGTATCATTCCTTTGCTAATAGTTATTGAAATAGTTTGCTGATAATGTACTGTATTTACTTGTCTCATTATCATATGAGTTTGATTCATTGACAAGAGTCCAATACTCTAACAGGTTTCCACTCTTTCCAAATCCTGTTGTCTCCAAGGTAGCGGTTTTCTCAAATCTCATGCGTACTCCTCTAGTTCTAGTATTGGGTATGTGGTATGGAAAATTATTATATTCACGTCACAAGTTTCAAAGTATAACACCATCTTTCCTAATTATTGCGGTCTTTTTAACTTCAATTCCACTGCTGATATACTACAATTCTATGTTATATTATCCGGCATCTGATATGGGGAGATTTGGGCTATTTTATATTGATTTTATCGATTCCTTATGGATATTAGCATCCATATCAGCTTCCTTCAAATATCTTCCACAGGTAAGTTGTTTACAAGTATTGGATTTAGAATACGTCACTAATTTAAGCTTTAGATTTCTGTGAACTGGTTAGGGATGTCTGTCTCTGGGATTTCTCACCTAACGCTGAGATTGGAGTTGGTTGCAAAAATGTTCAAACTGTTGAACAAATTTCTTCATTGGAATAAGGATTTCCACTATGAACCAGTTGTAAGTTGAAAATTCATATAAACTGATTTGGCTTGAAACTAACACACGACTTAAGAATAATAAACCTGTTCTTGTGCTTTTAGTGAGTAATATATAATTATATTGAAAAAGCTGTCAAGGTTTTTATAACTAACGAAACATAGCTGCAATTCATACTATTGGTTGTGTTGAACTCACAAATCTTGATATATAAGAATCAAAGACCATATTTGAAAAAATATGTTGCAGATGGAGTGGTTTGACTGTTTCGCTCTGCATTTTTTTTTAGTTTAGTTTTCAATTGACAAAGTTGAATATGCATTTTCATTTTACCGAAATTCGTCCTCATTGTATGAGAATCGAGATTAGCTATCGCTGACACAAATAGTCTCATCTCAAAATCCATTCTGTGTTACTCTTATCTCGAATATAATGTTTTAAAATTAAAGAAAAAGATTTATGTATCTTATTGAAGTTAAAAGCTTATTCTTTAAACTATGTACATTTGTTTTCTAATTATTCACAATATGATACAAGATGCCTCTAAAATTCTAATGGTTTGTCTATATGGCTTTTCAATGACTGAATGTATTGAAATTAAGTGAAAATGAGTTTTAACATGAAGTTTGCCATACCACAAATCACTTTTGTTAATTTTTACAAGACCAAATAACTAACAGATTTAAGTTCAATTATCAAGAGTCTTTGAATTCAAAGCCTTTTCCCAAGAAGCTTTGTAGCAAATTTTGCAAATTTACTGATTTTTCTTTCATCCTCGTCATAATCTTTTAAAGTTAGCTCCTTTGTATGAGCCATTAAGTTATCCAATTCACGTTGCATTTTGTTTTTCAAAATACTGGCGTTAGTTATAATTAATGCATTCGTTTCAAGATCGAATGAATAAGCTCTTCTAGTATAGTTTGATGAGCCGATGATGGTCATTGATGGTTGTGTTTCTCCTGGTGAAGTTGCCCAAAAACCTTTTGCATGATAAGACCAGCCCCCTTTAGTATTAACCTCACCGTTTTTCCATTCTCTTAGTTTAATTGTTTCCTGCTTAGATCTCAATATTACTTCTTTCAAAAAGTTTTTGGAAAGATACAAATACGCCTCTGGTAGGTATCCTGAAATTCCCTTTGATTTATAGAATCCATTTGCCAATGGAGAAGCTGTTATGACATTACCCTTTGAATTTAGTTGCAATAACTTGTCTTTAATTTCTGGTAACATATTGAAATATCCTGCAGTGAAAGCCCATTTTATTGAAGGTTCTTTTAAATAATTCAAAAGTTTTAATATACTTGGCTTTTCTGTTGACTCGTCGGTTATCATTAAAGGAGTAAATTGAGATATTGGGTAAACGAACGTTTTGGGTGATGTTGAATCTTCAGTTTGTATTATTTTAGAACGAAATTTGTCACCTCTCAAAAGCTCTCGAAGGATTTTGGAAGATTGGATTTTGAACTCTTTTGGGTTCTTTATTGGTTCAATTAAAGGATTTGAATCTGGCCATTCGAGTTTGAACTTTGAATTATTATTTGAATATAATAGCTTATAACTAAACGAGCTGATTGTCTTCTGTATATCAAAATAATAGTCTGATAGTCCTTTGCTTTTAAACAAATAGTAACGATCCTGTCTATCGGTGAAATAATCAGACGATAAATTTGCTCCTGAAAGCATAACTTCATCATCAAATCCGTAAATTTTCATATGTTGTAGTCCAAAACCTTCATTGAATCGATTAGGAACAATTGATTTATTTATTCCGTTCAAATTTGGAGTATGATACATTCTTATATCCACTTGTTCACTGTGTTCTTTCATGAGTTGACCTAAAAGCGATGCCGATGACTTGGATGGTGCCTCTCTTGTACCTCTTAAAGCATCAGTCAATATGTGAACTTTCAAATTTGGATTTGATTTTAGAGCTTCTGAAATACAACCAATTAATTCATCCTGGGTCCTTCCTATATATAATGAAGAAAAGAAAATTCTGTTCTGAGCTTTTGATATCTTTTGCTTTAAATGATCATAAAAATTGGATGGTTCGTGGATAATATCTATCTGATCGCTATTCAGTTCAAATCTTGGTGCTACTTGATCCATTTCTTTCACCAACGGAAGTAGAGTCTGATGAAAACCAGATAATGATGACATTTTCCTGATTGATAAGCTTTTTGAATAAGCTATTCTTTTGGCGATCATGCCCCGAATTAACCAGATATTCTTGTTTTTAGATTTTGCTACAATGTATCGTGTGGTTCTACAGAAACCTTAAAATGTTTTTTCAATAGAGAAATCATTTTCCGCGCTTTGATAACCATATCGATATAACATTGAACAAACATCAAGTTTGAATAAAAAAGTTAAAGTGATACCATATTATAGTACTGAATATTAAAAATTATTACTCTCCCACTCATGAGTAAATCAGCTGTGAAGAAAGATGCTATCAAAGTGTTTTTAACCTCATCGAAGCTGGACCCTACGGAAGGTATTGATTTCGTCAAGTGTGAAGAAGCAGGTGCGGTTATCATGTTTGGTGGAACTACAAGAAACTCCTTTGAGGATAAAAAAGTATCAGATTTGAGCTATGAAGCACATGAAAAACTTGCTTGTAGATCACTTGAGCGTATTGCTTTAGAAGCTCTTGACAAATTTTCAGATGATGGGAAAGATACTTTAATTCATAAAGTATATTTGGCGCATAGACTTGGACATGTACCTGTTAAAGAAGAAAGTGTTCTAGTTGTGTTAAGTAGTACACATCGTCAAGAAGGTTGGAAAGCAGCAGAATGGGTTTTGGAGAAGATTAAAGCTGAAGCTGAAATATGGAAGAAGGAAAATTATAACGATGGAACATCTAGTTGGAAAGAGAATGAAAATTCCAGTGTACATAAGAAAAATTAAAATAATTTAAAATAAATTACATGATTTTAAAATATAAACACCTTTGATATATACAAGTTGTATTCCTCATCTATTTCTCTATTTTGAAAGAAATGCTTCTTTAGTTCTGGCAATAACTTCGACTCTTTGTTTAGTGTAGTTCCAACGTTTTGTAACAATAGAGTTTTTACCAACTGATTCAGAGACACCAATAGATTCTGGAAGAACAGATTTAGCAAAAGTTCTTTTAAATTTGACGGCTTCTGAAAGTGTTAAAACAGTAGAGTTGAAGATTAAATCTTTGACTTTTTGTAATTTATCCTTTGAGTTGCTCTTCAATACTTCTTCAATTGTTGATCTTAATTCATTAACCAATGTTATTCTTTCTTCTTCAGAACGGAATTTAATCAAATTGTATTTAGAATCGAATGAAACTTCTTTTTCTAATCTTGAAATCAAATTTTGGTATGAATCTAATGAATTTTTAAACTCTGAATCATTTATTTCTCTTTTTCTCAATGACAATTTAAGGTTTTGAATATGAACGGCTATTGCTGTCGATCTAGCTTCAGTATCATTTGAACCATTTTTCAAATGATTTCTTACTAGTAATAAATGTTCTGAAGCAATGTTCAATTGTTCAGCTTCCAATTCTGGAATGATCTGGCTTAAGTCTTTTTGATATTGTGATAAAGTCTTAGCTCTTTTTTGTTCTCTAAATTTTAAATCTTCATCCAATTTTGGTTTTGCAAGGTATTGTTTACGATTTAAATGAGTTTCTTCAATTGATGCTTTTTTTGGATCCTCTATTGGGACGTAACCAAATCTTCTTGCTCTTGGTGCAAAATGAGGTGTTGGTAATCTACTTTCTTGATCTAAAGCAACACCAACAAATCTTCTTCTTGGGTGGAATGGATCATAATAAAAACGAACAAAACCTGGTTCTAATGCAAAAATTGTATGATCTTTACCGATGCCAACATTTTCACCTGGAAAAAATTTAGTACCACGTTGTCTCATTATAATTTGACCTGGTTCTACTTGTTGACCTTCATTCTTTTTAGGACCTAAATGACGACCTGCAGAATCTTTCATATTTGTTCTTGAACCAGCAGCTCTTTTAGTAGCAGTACGAACTTGTAATATTGGACCACTTAAGGTTGAGTTTTTAGAGAAAACATTAGACGCTAAACCTAGTGCGCTCTTTATCACAGAGACATTTCTGTTAGCACTCCAAAACGCCATTTCTTTTAAAGTTTCAAAGTACTATTCAGAATTTTATAACGTTTTAATTCATTTTGTATTCATTATATATCGTTGATTTTTTTTTCAGTAAGTTTTCTCTAACTCTCGGGGCTCGTAACACAAAAGTTGAATACCACTCAATGACATTTCAAAAATTAATTGGACTCGAATCAACCATTCTGATTGTAAAATAATCTATGAATGAATGTATTACTCAACTTAAATCAACCTACTCATTACATCAACATGAAACGACTGTCTTCACTACCAATCTTTCTTTTTATGTTTCAAAAGTTTTGGAAATTAAGGGTAACAAGAATATGTTTATGTAAGCTGTTATGTAATGACGGTATATTATGATAAAATTATTGTAAAGTTTGTGGTTTATCGCGCGTTAATAAATAAACACAATCATTAATCAACAATTATAAAACAATTTTAATAGTAAATCATAAAATGGAAGGACAATGGGATATAGTGATTTCTTCTTTACAAGATATTTTCAACAGTAATGAAGAATTAAATTTCGATGAAGATAAAGATATTCTAAATACAAATGTTTCTGATTTGAATGAAAAACAATTAAATGAAGTTTTACAAAATCTAACAAATCATAAAGAAAATGTTGATAAAAGCCGAAGAGTTCTTGAAACAATTTTGGATAATTTGAGTACAGTGATTGCAACTGAAAATAAAAGAAAGGCAAATGACCCTAAATTCAAGAAAGGAAGAAGTTTTTGGACAAGTCCTTTTAATGAATCAGATTCTATAACAATGGGTGGTGAAGTTGCATTCAGGCTTCGTCAAAGAGGTGCTGAAGACGAGTGGATTCAATGTGAAGTGACCAAAGTGATTGGAGATGGTACAAAGTAAGTGTTATCTTACATATCAGAATAAATTTTTTTATGTGTTTTTGAATTTACTAACAAAATCCTTACTAGATTTGAAGTTCGTGATCCTGAACCTGATGAAAATAATAACCCTGGGAAGACATACAAAGCTACATGGAAAGATGTTATTATGATACCCAGTACACAATCAGTTGAATCTTTAGTAAGCTATCCTTATGGTACCAAAGTTTTAGCAAGGTATCCTGAAACCACAACTTTTTATCCAGCAGAGGTAATTGGAACTAAAAGAGATGGAAGATGTAGACTTAGGTTTGAAGGTGAAGAAGAAGAAGGTAAAGAAACAGAAGTTGACAGAAGACTGGTGATTCCTTTCCCTTCCAAGTGAAATTACTTGGTATACATCAGCTCCAATAATATGAAATTTAAATGCTTTTGTGATTGATTTGTAGTTGTTGTAAAGATTTATTGATAATACGAATTCCGGTCAATAGTGACCGGAATTCACAAAGTTCACCGATTGAAAAAAAAAAGAACCTGTGACGATATTACAATGTAAATAAGAGAGCTTTTCATTTATAACTTAAAATAATAATACTTCAAGTTCGAATTTCACAAAAATTTCGAGAATAATGTCAGAACCAATGGATATAGATAGCGTGAGTACTTTTATAAATCAAAACATAGCTTTGGGTGATTTAATTTTTATATATCCAACCCCGGTTCCAAAGACTAACAGTTAAATCAATAAAGGATCTTCGTGATCGTGATGCTTCACCAAGAAGAGACCGTCCATACCAAAGAGATCGTTCACCAAGAAGATACAGAGATGACTATAGGGGTGGTAGAGAAAGCAGAGGAAGTGGTCCAAGAGATGGCTTCCCTCCACACAGTAAATCAGATAGAAATTATGAAAACAGTATTTTTGTTGGTAATTTACCATTTGATTGCGATTGGACTCAATTAAAGGATCATTTCCAATCAATTGGTAATGTTGTTCGTGCTGATATTGTAACTCAAAATGGTCGTCCTCGTGGTATGGGTACAGTGGAATTTGGCTCAAAATCTGAAGTTGATAGAGCCATCAGAGAATTTAATCATACACCATTTTTAGATCGTGATATATTCGTTAGACAAGATAATCCACCTCCTCCACAAAGTCAAAGAAGAGATAGATTCTCTGATAGAGGTGGATATGGAAGAGGTGATAGTTATGGTGGTAGAGGTGATAGTTATGGTGGAAGAGGTGGTTACGGAAGAGGTGATAGTTATGGTGGTAGAGGTGATAGTTATGGTGGAAGAGGTGGTTATGGAAGTTACGACAGAGGATATGGTGGTGACCGTTATGGCAGAGGTGGCTATGGTGGTTATGGTGGTGATAGATATCCACCAAGAAGAGAAGCAGGTTACTCCTCAAGTAATGGTCCAAAAGGATTCGAAGTTTTCGTTGCAAATTTACCATTTTCAATTAACTGGCAAGCTCTTAAAGACATCTTTAGAGAAGCTGGTGAAATTACACATGCAGATGTCAGATTAGATGAAGGTGGTAGATCTAGAGGTTTCGGTATAGTGTCTTTCAAAAATAAAGAAGATGTTGATAATGCAATCAAACAATTCAATGGATATGAAATAGAAGGTAGACAATTAGATGTTCATGAAGGTAAAAATAATTCAAGATTTGAATCTGAACAAAAAAGAGAACCAGAATCATCTTACAAACCAAACGTTCAAAAAAATTCAGACTTTACAGAAGGTGTTGAAGCAAATGGTGAAAAAAATTCAACCATTTATGTTGATAATTTACCATTCGCCACCTCTAATGATGATTTGTTTGAATTGTTTGAAACTGCTGGCCGTGTTAGTGCTGCTGAAATTAAATATGATCCTACTGGTAGACCAGCTGGATCTGCTGTTGTTAAATTTGAATCAGAAGAATCTGCAGAAGCTGCTATTAATGAATTGAATGAATATTCTTATGGTGGTCGTCCTTTGAATATCACTTTTGCAAAACTTCCATAAATTTCAATCTTGTCTTTTTCTTTTGGTGATAGAATTTGCTTTGAAAATAAAATTCATTGAAAAAAGTTTGTATCTCTTTGTAATTTAAATGTATTAATTATGGTTTGTTGGATTTATATCGATTTAGTAATATGTAGGCACAATTTATAGCTGATAAATACCGGTACACTCGACATTAATTGTCGATGGACATTAAATAAATATATTAATATAAATTTTTTGACTTAACTAAATATATAATTTAAAATTAAAAATAACTATAGTCGAATTTATATTAAATTCAATAATTTAGTTATCTATATATTATATGATGATTAATTAAATATTATAATTTAAAATATTATATTATATATAGTGTATAACCGAAAATATTGTAATAATATATTAATATATATATATTAAACTTATAATTATAATATATATTTTATTTTAAATTAATTATATCC